CCCCCCCCAGCCAAGGAAGGGACAGGCAGGCGTCCCAAAATTCTCCTCTCAGATGCTGTTTCAGGTTTCCATTCGCTTCTCCTGAGCAACACGGGCAACCGTCTCGGGCTCGACGGGCCTCGGTTTGCCCATCTGTGACTGAGGAGATCCTGGCGGCTCAGGGCGCGGCCCGGCTCGGCGGTCCAGGCTCCCCCGGGAGCCGCTCGGAAGCGCAGACTCATGCCCCACCCCAGACCTGCCGGGTCAGAACCCGTGTTTTAACAAGTCCCCCGTGACTCACGCGCGCACGCACGCACGGGCCGGCCGGAGCGGGTCTCGTGCCGTGTCTGCTCCTACGTGGTGCGAGCCCGATGCGACGTGGCCGGTCGGAAGGACGCGGGAGCCCGGTTTCCGGAGAGGAGGCCGGGCTTTGTGAGGTGGCGGGTCTCCTTGGAATGTTTTCGGTCTTTGCGGCGGTGAGAACCGTCTGGGCGGGTGTGCTTCCTGGGGGAGGGGCTGGTCCTCGAAGCAGCCCCGGGTGACGCTGGTGTGCAGGAGCGAGGGGTCTTGTGAGCGCCTCTCTCTGAGGAGGCCAGGCGGGGCTCCCTGTCCCCGGGGTCCTTCACACAGCATTCGAGAGAGGGCCCAGGCTGCCGGGGCGGGGGCAGGGGCGGGGGCTCCTCCCGTGTTCACCTGTGGTCCTGAAGGTGCGTGGGCTGCCCTGTCCCCTGCCCCTTCCTTCTCCCTTGGGGGCGGGGGGCGTTGGGCGCTGTGATTTCCAGATCACTGACCCGTAGCGAGAGGCAGAGAGGTGGCTTGAATCCGACCTTTGCTGCTCGTGGGAGGCCCGGCTGGGTGACAGGGGTGCGGTCCTGCGTTACAGGGCATGTCCTTGGGGCCAGACCTGCCAGGTTCAGACCTGACTGTGTCACCGCCTGCTGCCTCCGTAGCCCTCAGAGGACCCCCCCCACCCCACCCTGCTCCGACAAGCCGGGGTCTGCCTTTGAGTCAGCTCCCCGGGGGGGTTCATGTGTGCACGGAGTTTGAGAAGCGCTGACTTTCCCTCCGGCTTCTACATTCTCACAGTTTGAGACGAGACCGCAAACCGTTTAATCTTTGGGAGCTAGAAACGCCCTTTCTGGAGGAGGGAGCAGGCTTTGGGCTTTGCTACCTGCTGGCTGCGTGCCTCGGGCAAGTTGCGTGCTCTGTACCTCAGTTTCCCCACCCGTGTCGAGGGATGACCGTGCCCCCCCCAGCTACAGAAGAGCAGATCGGTCGACGTGTGGCCGGGGCCTAAAGCGGTGCCCGGAGCCTCGCAAAAGCTACGCTGGCGTTTGCCTGGACTCTTGGTGTCATCGCTGCGGACGGGAGGCCGAAGGCCTGGGAAGGTGAACTCGCTCGGGGACACGGCGTCGTTTGCTGGGGCCACAGACGGGGCAGCTTCACCGTTCAGAGTTCCGGGGGCTGTAGGTCAGCACGGTTGCTGTCCTCCGAGGCCGCTCTCTTTAGTGTGTCGACAGCCGTCTTCCTCCCCTGTCTACACCTCCTCTCCCCTCCTTCCGTGTCCGTGATCCTAACACCCTCTTCTTACACGGACACCAGTCATGCCGACTCAGGACCCACCCTGGGGACCTCATATTACCTTAATCCCCTCTTGAAAGGCTCCCTCTCCAAATGCGGTCGCATTCCGAGGTCCGGAGGGGTGAGACGTCACCACAGGACTCTCAGGGGGGGGGGGGGGGGGGCCACAGCTCAGCCCGGCTGAGACTCGTGAACACTGTGGGGCGTAAAAGAGGAAGTCAAAGCACCCACGAGAATCCAGGGGGTGGGGCTGGTTCCAGAGAACCCCCGCCCCGCCTCAGCAGGGACAAGAGTGGCCTGTCTACACGCGTGTCACTGTAAGGGAAGTGTCCAGACCCACGGGGCCCACGTCACCTATTTGCCCTGAACTCTGCGAGGCGAGGCCAAGAGGGAGCGCCGTGTTCTTCTGGACCCCGGGGCCGTCTCCTTACCTCCCTTTGTGCGGAAGACCCCGGCGCTCACGGTGGTAAGCCGCCGTCTTTAGAGTTAGCCTGTCCCGCTGACCCTCGCGGAAATAACTCCTGCTCGTGGGTAGCGGGAGCCTGTTCGACAATCGGGAAGAGTAAGGCACAGAGAGGTTGAGTGGCTTGTCTGGGGCCACACAGCCGGTGGCAGGTTCTCAGACCCTTCCCCCTGGTTCTAGCACCTGTGCAGCCGTGTGTCCTGATGCCCGGGGCTTGCACAACCGGGGCGGGGGAAGGGGGGCTGGCCACGGTCAGGCAGGCACAGGGCTAGGAGCTCGGGCCTGGCAGCGTCTCGATCCCACAGGGACCTTGGCATTTGGGATGCGTCATTTCAGGTTTTACAGACAAAAATTCAAAATTAAAAAGAAAAGGGAGCCCCAGGCGGTCAGATGCTTCCCCCGAGGTCAGCTGCGTGGCCGGGACCGAGGACCCCGGACCACGCGGTCCTGCTGGTTGCTGGGCCGAGCCTTGTCCGGGTTCGTGTGGGTTTGACAGGGGGAGACGGATGAGCCCGGCAGGTCCCATCTCACCCCTGCCGCAGAGCTTCAAGTGACCCTCTCCCGCTCCTCCGGGCCCGCACCCGGTACTCTTGGAGAATTCCGGCTTGCGCGGCCCCACGGGGCGGTCGGTCTCTCGGCCTGTGGGGCCAGGCTGTTCTGGGGAGGGCTGAGCAACTGTCCGGGGGCTTCTCTGGACACTCGAACGACACTCTGCCCCCTGTCTCTGCAGGTGACAAGCGCTGGGCCCCGGGGCCGCTGCGGCCCGGGCCTCCTGGAGGAGGAGCTCGTTCCCGGTTAGGTGCCGCTTCTTCTCGACCCCGAGAGGCCGGGGTGGCGGCAGGATGGCAGAAATGCTCCTGTTCTGGAAAACGGAGTAGGATATCGCCGGCTCGGGGCCATCGGGCAGCGGTCGGCCAGCTCTGGCCAGCGGCCTCCTGTGGAAACCCCCAGCGCCATCGGCCAACGCGCTCTCCCCGGGTCTTTGGCAGCTGGGAGCCGGGTCGAGACCGAGTCTGGCCAGCCGGAGAGGCCGAATCTCAGCTCTCGTTGCCAGAAAGCTTTTAGTGGCCCACGGAGAAAGCTGTCCCCCGTTGGTGAATTCCCCAGTGAGATCAGAGAAAGTCTGGGGCTTTGCTTCAACAGAACGCTTCTCGGGGTCTCTGTTCGCGGCCACTGCGGAGAGAGAAAGTGCAGAGGCCCCTCGGACCCCAGCAATGTGGGGTTCCCCTCTCCGGGCACGACGTCTGTGCCTCCTGGGGTCAGACAGAGACACGGCACAGGTCTCCTTAATGTTGGGGAAAAGAGATTTTGAGCGCGATTCCCCCCCCCCCCGCCAAGTGGAATTGTTTTCATGCCCATCCAGAAAGCGATTGTTTTGTTTCTTTGGTCTTTGAAATGAACTATGGTGCGATCAGAAAACGTCAGAGCTACAGCTGGACGCAAACTTCCACTCTGCCCACGGGAAATCTGAGGCCACCGAAGGAGATGCTTTCCTGAGGGGCCCCTGGCAGCTGGGCAAGAAGGGGTGCCCGCACCCAGACTGCCTCCCATACCCGTCACCACCAGCCTCGGTGCCTGTCCCCTCCCTTTACCCGGCCGATGGCCCCAAAGTGCAGGCCCCTTCAGAGGAGCCCACGACGACCTGGGCCTTCTCAGCAACAGACGGCACACTTCCTCTGGGTTTTCTAAACCGATCAAGAGTTGGAACGGGGCTGTGGCCGTCCCCGGAGGGCCATGCAGCCCTCCCGTCCCCGGGGCCCCCTCCTTTCTAGCGCAGACACTCCTCCCCTGGGACCATGGGAAAGGCGCCGTTCCCAGATGCCGAGATGCGTCCCTCCAGCAGCCGGCTGAGGCACTAGAATGAGCCCGTTGTTCTCGAAGACCAGGCCTGGGCCGGGCCGGGAGGAAACCGCGGGCATTGAACCTCAGAGTATCGGTTTCTCCTCCCCCCACCTCAGCTCCCCGCACGCCTGCGAGGGACGGCCAGGCGGAGGGCAGGGGGCTCCGCCTCGGACCCTCCTGCCTGCCCGACTCCCCGAGCTCCCCCAAAGCGCTTGACCTGGAGCCCACAGGCCAGGGTGGGTCAGACTTGTCCCCGAGCGAGTTCAAGGGGAGGAGCCTGTGTTGGGTGAGCGGGATTCGGGCCCCTCCGTCGGTGAGTGCCTGGGCACAGCCTCCGTGTCGCTCAGGACAGGACCTGGGGCCCCGGGGAAGGAAGCCGGCGCTGGTCGCCCCCCAGGCCCTCGGTGTGGGCCGCATGGGGCCTGAGGACAAGCAAGCATCCTCTAACAGGTGCATTCTAGTCTGCAGGGGGATCTGGCATCTTCTTTTAAAGTTCCTATCTTGAGGCTTTTCTAGACAGAGTCCCATATTCACCGTCCGTATGAGTAAAAAGGAAAAAAATGAAGCAGCTTTAATGAAACGGAAGTTTAACAACATAGAAATTTAATTCTCTCTCCCATAAAAATAAACCCATGGTCTAGGGCTGTCGAGGCCTCCGCAGGGGCAGGGCCTAGATGTTCCTCTAGATTTGCTTTGCCACCTTCCGCATGGCTGGCACTCTGTAGCCACAAGGTCCAGCCGTCATATCCACCTTCCAGTTAGCAGGAAGGGAGGAGGGAGGAGGGAGGAAGGTCCTCTTACCTTCCCTCAAGGGCATTTCCTGGAATTCGCACACCGCACTGGGGCTCCATTCCAAGGCCACGACTAAATGTAAGAGAGTCTGGAAGAGGTCGCCTTTAGACTAGCTGGCCATACGCCCAGGTCAAAGTCAGGGGTTCGTTTACCAGGTAAGGAGGGAACCGCCGGGGGACGATTGTCTCTGTCTGCCTCACCTTCCTTCGGGCAGGTACCATACAGAGGGTTTATAACACACAGGCATCATAGTCAGGGTTTCAATATTATCACCAAGACTTGTTTTATTTATTTATTTTTTAATTTTTTTTCCCACGCTTTTTATTTATTTTTGGGACAGAGAGAGACAAAGCATGAACGGGGGAGGGGCAGAGAGAGAGGGAGACACAGAATCGGAAACAGGCTCCAGGCTCCGAGCCATCAGCCCAGAGTCTGATGTGGGGCTCGAACTCACAGACTGCGAGATCGTGACCTGGCTGAAGTCGGCCGCTCAACCGACTGCGCCACCCAGGCGCCCCCACCAAGACTTGCTTTAGAAGCACGGACCGATAAAAGAAGGAGTGAAGCTTAGAAATCGGCCAGCCCACACTCTCATTTGCCAGATTAGGAATCTGAGGCCCAGAGAGGTCAATCAAAAACACTGAGATCACACAGCACGTTCATGGCATCTGATTCCCAGCTCACATTCAGTGTGGGGTGGGGGGGGGGGGGAGGAGTATTTTTTGTTTTCTCTGCTTCTGAACTTAAGGAAAAAAAGCTTCATTCTGGAGGAGAGGGAGCTCGAGCTCCGAGGATGAAATCCATCCATCCATCCATCACCGGGTCTCTGAGCTGCAGGACACGGGCGGGACGGTGACAGGGCTCGCGTGCCCTGGTCTGCCCGGCCCCGAGTCGGGGCGGCTGAGGCCTGTGCGCTGGCTGGGGCGCTGTGCTGTGTGTGCAGGTGGCCCCGTGTGTGTGTGTGTGTGTGTGTGTGTGTGTGTGCGCACGCGCATCTGCCGCCTCTCTGACTCCAGCCCGCCCGGCTCCTGGGTCTCACTAGCTCGCTTCGGTTTCAGGGAGCGCGCGGCCAGGATGGGAGCCGTCAGCAGGCAGGATGGCACCTTCCAGGCGATGCTGACACTCAGCTGGCTCACCCTGGCCGCGTCCGCAGGTGAGTCACTACAAAGCCGCGGGACGGCCGCGCGCCTCGGTGGGAGGCAGCCGCGGGGCGGGGGCGCAGGGTGGCTGGGCTCCGGCCAGTCCCTGCTGACCCGCCCCTTCCCAGGCGAGTCTCACCCCGGGCCCCAGTTTTGTCGTCCACACAATCAAGGGGCTGAATCGGCCCCAGGGGCTCCAAACCGGCATCTGCGGGAGCCAAGGATGAGACGCGGAGCAGTGTGGGGGGGCCGCGTGGGCACCGTGGCCGCCTGGGCCGTTCACACTCCTCGAGAGGGACCCCGCGTCTCAGATCTGGCCAATCTGCTGTCACGCGTGAAGGTGGGAGCTCGCGGGTTGCTCAGAGAAGCCAGAAGCATAGATTTTTCCGTAAAATTCTTCGTGTCAAGCGTCCACGACTAATTCAAACTTGGCAAAGCACCTCGGGGGCCGGAGGAAGGCCACACCTCTGGGACCCAGCTCGCCACCCGTCACTTGAGCTCTTCGTCCCCTTCTCCCTTCGCCATCCCAGGCTCGGGGAAGCTTCGGGCACCTTGCGCCGCTCTGCTCAGGGTCGCTGCTCTGATCTCGATGTCACCTTGCTGTTTGGACGATTTTCTAAGAACCACCGAAGCTCCAGGCCGGTTTGCAGGGCCGGCAGGAAGCAGCCACCGCGTGAGCCGGACTCGGGGTCAAAGGAGGCAGAAGAAGATGGGAGACAAGGTCGAGCCCGGGGCTGGCGGTCATAGCGCCAACCGTCAGCCGCTCTGGTTTTTAAAATGCTGCTGTCGCTAATAGCCGGATGCTTTCCTACGAGAAGAATACAGGAACTTAGGTTATGTTTTGTTTTCCTCAACCCGCGGAGGGAAGGAGGGCCTCTGTATCCATCGCGAGCGACATTCCTTCCACGCGGCCCCTCGCGCAGCCTTTCAGACGTTTTTGCTCTCGACGAAACAGTTGTCAGCATTGCTGGAATATCGTTCCTTCCTTCTTCCGTCGTGTTCGCCCCTCGTAAACACCGAGGGGCAGCAGCTCCAGGCCAGGAAGGGGGTTCCGGTTCGCTCGTAGGAGGGCCCGCCTCGGGGCCCTGGGGCGGCCCTACGGGGTGCTGTCCTCCCGCACCCTGGGTGTCTCCTCTCCTCCTCACTCTGGGTGTGGGTCTAAACCCCCGGAAAGGCGGCCGTGCCTCTGGTTGCCCCTGGTCCACGCTTCTCCTTCTCCCTGACGTCTTGCCGTCCGTGCCCCGAGCGGGTGGGCCTTGCGTTCACATCCCTCCTCCCTCTACCCTCCTTCCCGCTCCCGCGGCCCCTCTCGGGGAGGGTGCTTGCTGCAGAGACAGTCCAGCCAAGGCGCTGACCGTTTCCAGCCACTGGTGAGCTCACACGGACGAAAACCCACCCAGACGGGCCGTCCCCAGGTGCAAGCATCCAGCTGTAAGGAAAGAGCCCGTCTGGTGACCGCCAAGCTTCCGCTGTGGGGCCGGAGCCGCCGGTGCCCTGGGACCTGCACTCCCCTGAGGGCCCGTGGGCTCAGGCTGACCACTTCCGGATCCAGACGTGACGTCTGGTGCCACGCGTGTGCCTGGGGAGTAGAGGGGCCGTCGGCTCGTCCTGGGAGATGCGGGTGGCGAGGCCCTGAGGCTGTGTCCCGTGCGGTCGAAGGGACTCCTCCTCAGCAAGCTCTTGGTGCCAGGCCTCCACCGCGTGGCTCGCCACGGGCCACACGTGTCCTCCGCGCGCTGCGGGAACGCCTCCTTGGAAACGGATACTCCGGGTCCGGAACTGGGTGGAGGGCAGCCCGGGGCCTCTGGCCTCTGCTGGAAGCCAGCCAGGCATGTGACCCAAAGACAAGCCCAGGCGTGAGCACTGACCCACGGGGGCTCTCGTCTGGGCCCCCGGGAGCCTCGGCTGCTAAATGCTGAGGCAGAGCAGTGCCTGCTGGAGGCTCCGGAGACTCCAGCGATGAGCAAGCGTCCTAGTGTTCACTTTGTCACCACTGCTGGAGCCCCTGGGGGTTTCCAGCAGCTGGGAGAGGTGCTTTCCAAACGGCGTGGAATTCTGTGCTCGGTGGAGGAGATCCAGAGCCCGGATTCACGCTGACGACGGAGCGGATGGCGGGCGGAAGGGGGGTGCTGGTGGGCCGGGGCCGGGCGGGTGGGGACACGGCTCGGCCAGCCCGCATCGGGCTGCCTGGCAGAGGACAGAGGGTCGGTTACTGCCTTCAGATGCACAAAGAGGAGGAGGTGATGTGGGTTCGGGGGTCCGTATCCGGCACCCCCCTCCCAGCTCTCTGGGGACGCGTAAATGCGGGGCAGACACTCTCTTCCCAGAGATAACGGGACGGAAGTAAAGCGCCACTTTGAACCGACGTGCTGGGGATCCTACTGAATCCCTCCTGGGGTCACGGCCCCCCGTCGTGGACTTCGTTCCCTGCACGCGCTTTGCTCAAGAGACACAACCGTCCTCCTCGAAGCCTGAGCCGGGAGTTCGCGTCCGTCCCTTCCGACCTCCTCCTGGCACCTGCACCCCGCCCTCCTGCCTCTCCAGCCCCCAAATCCCCCAACCCTCGTACGTAGCAACCTCTGGGCACGGAGGAGAGGAAGGCATCGGGGCTTTTTCTCGGACGCAAGCCCTTCTCGTTTGGTCTTCCTACCAGTTTCCTTCTGGATTTTTCCTCTCTGCAGGGAGATTCTTCCAGATGGCCAGGGGGCTGCTCCCGGTCCTCCCGCTGGGGCCGGGGACACGCGCCTCCCCAGCGCCCCCCACGGGGCCCTCGTTCAGCTAAACATGCCGACCCCGAGGCCGCCACAGGCTGCGCTCGGCGTCGGGTCGCTGAGGAGGGTGCAGGGTGGAAACATAGGCCGCCGTCGGCGCGGGCGCGAGGCGTGTTTCTCTTGCCCGGGGACGTCCTGGCTGCGTGCCACATGGCTTTCCAGAAGCCACCCTGTGTGGTTCCCCAGGTGGCAGCTGGGGCCAGGTGTGGGAGCTGCCCTGGCCGGGGGCCTCGGGCCCGCAGAGCCGCGCGCGCGCTCTCTCTCTCTCTCTCTCTCTCTCTCTCAACTCTGACAATAACATCTGTTCCACAGAACATACTAGCATGTAAACAACGTGTTGTTAAATATTGGCACCTTTTTTTCCAAATTACTCTCTTTTAAAAAGGACCGTGGTGGTCCATCACGACAACTGCATAGACGTGACTTCCTGGGTCCCCGCAGGAGACGTACCCAGGGGGGACCCTGCAGGGAGACGACTCCGCCAGGGAGAGAGAACAAATTACGCACAGTTCTGACCCATTTAGATGCCGCTCACTGATAAGGGGTAGCTTTTGTTCGAAGCCACGTTGCTTGGTGACCCGGTTTACGATACAACACCATCCCCTCTTGGGTTTCCAGGGGAGCAGAGCTAGAAAATTAACTAAAGTCAGAGTCTCGCGCGGAAAGGGAGGGGGCTTCCTTAACTCTCAGAGCGCCGCTTTCCAGAGGGAGGACTCTCTTGGATTGCAAGAACTCTGGGCAGATCATTACCTAGCTTCGGGTCCGGGAATGTCTTAAAGAATCATCTGCCACGCCCTCCGTTTTGTAAACGGAGAGACTGACCCCGGAGAAAGGAAGTGACCTGTGGACAGGTGGGATGGACTGTAGTAAAGACGGGGGGCCGGACCCCAGGGCTCCTGTGCCTACGCGGCTCGGGCCACGAGAGCCGTGAAGGTGGGGGAGGCCCCCACGTGGCAGAGCCTTTGCTTGGTGAGGGGGGTGGGTGGAAGCAGTGACGCCCCTCTGTCCTTAGCAGTGGCGGCCGAGTGCCCCGACCAGAGCCCCGAGCTGCAGCCCTGGAGCCCTGGCCACGACCCGGGCCACCGCGTGCACATCGGCCGGGGCAGGACACTGCTGCTCACGTCTTCTGCCACGGTGAACTCCATCCACGTCTCAGAGGGAGGTAAGCCGGCCTCCCCCCGACCTCCCTCCCGGCCGCGGCCTCGGAGCCCAGCAGGCGGCCAGGGGTCCGGACGGGCGGAATGACGGTCACGGGCCCTGGGTTCGGGTCAGAGCGTCTGGTGGGTCATGCCGCCATCCCCTCTGGGCGCTTAGGAGCAGCCCGTCGGCGGTCCAAGTCTTGGCGGAGGAAGCGTAGAGGGAGGCTTTCGCTGGCGCCCGGAGCGTGCCGGCTGGTCACGCCGCCAGACGCTCGCCCGTTGAGCACGGCACGCACGGCGGCGGGTGCAAGCCGGCAGGCGGTGTCCCCGCATCGCAGGGTGAGAGGAGAGAGGAGAAGCCGGTAGTGAGCACGGGAAGGGTAGGAGTCCCGGGACAGACCGGCCTTCTTGCCCGTCTGGCCGAGGCGGGGGCTTGGCAGGTCCGCCCGCAGCTCCCCCTACGGCCTCCCCGCTAACACGCATCTTCTTCAACCCCACCCCTGCCCGCCTCCTCAGGAAAGCTGGTCATTAAGGACCAAGACGAGGCGATCGTCCTGCGTACCCGGCACATCCTGGTTGACAACGGAGGGGAGCTGCACGCGGGGAGCGCCCTCTGCCCTTACCAGGGCAACTTCAGCATCGTTCTGTACGGCAGGTGGGCGGTCAGCTTCCGCGGGTCAAATGCTCCTCTTGGATCTGATGGGAAGGAGGCCTTCCAAAGGCGGGAGGGAGGCGGGATGGCGGGACGGGGACCGTGGTCACAGCCCGCCGGGCGGAACCACGAGCAACACAGACGTGGGCCGCTGGGGCGAGCTGGAGGCGGTGCTGTGTTTCTTGTGGGTCCACGCCGAGGGGACGCACGTCCCTGCCAGACTTGTGGCTGCCTTTCCGTCACGTCGAGCCTCAGGGAGCCTCTGGGGGTGTCTATTCAACGGGTTAGGATGGACACGATAAAGCCGATTTCCACACGGTGCCGGCCTCTGGCCAACTGAGAGTTCTCAGAAGTGGTGGCCAGAAACACACAGAGGTCCGTGTGCACCGTGCAGGGCCTCTGACGTGGACCGGAGTGTAGCACGGTCAGGCCCGGAACGAAGCAGCAACGTACAAGCTCACGATAAGGGCTTTGGCTTGGCCTTTCGGCCGCACTTCCGTCTGGCTTAGGTGCCAGACGTCTGGTCGGTGACGCCCTTGCTGCCGGCCTCCCAAGTCCCCGCGTGTGACCGGTTCTCCGGCCGTCAGGGAGGGAGCATCCCGTGGGGCGTCGGCTGACTTTGGGCAGCTGTTTTCTCTCGCAGGGCCGACGAAGGCGTTCAGCCGGACCCCTACTTTGGCCTCAAGTACATCGGGGTCGGCAGAGGAGGCGTCCTTGAGCTACACGGACAGAAGAAGCTCTCCTGGACGTTTCTGAACAAGACCCTTCACCCAGGCGGCATGCAGGAGGGGGGCTACTTTTTCGAAAGGAGCTGGGGTCACCGTGGAGTCATCGTGCATATCATCGACCCCAAATCGGCGACTGTCATCCACTCCGACCGGTAAGGTCTGCCTTCACGTGAACACACAGCCCTTCGTTCCACGGACGTTCACCGAGCCTGGGCCGTAGCCAGATGCTGGTCCAGGCGCTGAGATACGGCAGGGAGCCGGCCGGCCAGAGGCCCTCACCTCCAGGAGTTTCATCCCTCCCTCCCCGGGCATCTGCCTACAGAAGAGAATTAGCGGGAACGGGCAGACGCACACGCGCGTACACGCGACATCGTTCCAGATCACGATCGTTCGTGATTAGGGAGAAAAGACACAGCGCAGAGGCAGAAAGTGACCAGGGAAGCCCACGTGGCGTCAGCCAGGGAAGGCCAGCCTCAAGGGGCAACATTTGAGCGGAGAACTGCAGGGTGAACAGGAGCCGGGGAGAGAGTATTTGAGACGGCGGCAAGTGCAAAGGGCCAGTGGCGAGGGGGTCGTGATGGAAACCCGGAAAGGCCAGCAGAGAGGCGGGGGGGGGGGGGGTGCAGAGCGATGGCACTGGGACACAGTAATGTCCGGGTTTGGGGCAGGGGCAGGTGCGGGACCTCGCGGGGCACCGTAAGGAGTCGGGTTTTATTCTAAGTGGGACGTGAAGCCCCTGGAGGGTTTTAAGAAGGGTCTGATCTGATGAAAAGAACGTTCTGACTGCCGACTAGAGAATGGATGGATGGTGGAGACAGGAGGAGAGAGAGCAGAGGTGGCCGGGAGGCTTCTGCCTGGCCTGAGAGGGGCCGCCGGCCGGGACTCGGGCAGAAGCTACGGCAGTGGAAATGGAAGCACTCGAGAGATGCCTAAGAGGCAGGGAGGGCAAGTCTCCGCTCCCTCCCGCCCCACCCCCTCCCCGCTCGGGTGTGAGCAGAGTCTGCAGAGGCTGTCCCAGGGCACTCGGAGGGGAGGACCCCCCAGGAAGGACTCGGCTGGGGCAGGCGGGCAGACCCCGAGCCGTCCTGCTGCTGCTGGACGCGGGGGGCGCAGGCTCCGCAAGAACCAGGGCACGAGGAGCAGGGAGCCGGCAGCAGGGGTCACGGGGACACAGGGAGGAGGGGGCCGCGGGGACACAGGGCACGTTGGGCAGGAATATGCGGGACGACCCCCCTTGCCCTGCGGTGAACACCAGTGACGTTCACTGGGCTTCGTGCAAAACGACGAGTTAACCGCGTTGACCGACCATCTGTATCATCAATCCCCCGAGTAGGTTCTGTGATCATCCATGTCGTACGGAGGGAAACACTGAGGCCCCGTGGGCTCCGTGTGCTGTGTCACAAGGCCGGCGAGTGTCGGAGCCGGGATTCAAACCCGGGTCTGCCCAGACCCTTGACCCTGGGCGACTTCCGCGGGTGCCCCGGGGCTGGGCGGTCCGTGGGAAGCCACCCTGGCAGCTGGGGTTCAGGTTCCCAAGACGGAACGGCTGCTCGGCCGAATCTCCTTTGGTTAAAGTATGCGTGTGTGGGGCTTCGAGAACCCGGCGGCCGGAGGTGTGTGAGTGAAGAGGGTCGCCAACACGACACACGCCCGCACACAGGAGCTACTAGCTGCCATCTGAGAAGGTTCCGGGAGGGAGAAGAACGTAGGTCCGCCCTTGACAGGCAGTAAGCGTGTGATCGGGCAGGGGGAGGTGAGGAAGGGCGTGTGAAGACGTGCGGTGTGGTTGTGGCACTGAGGTTGGCCCGGCTCGAAGCCAGGGGGGCGGGGGGCGCAGAATGAGTGGCCCGGGCCCGGACCCGGACCCACCAGCTGCATAGACACTTGCTCTCCAGTCTGAGGGCTCAGGAGCACCTAGCCAGCCGGCCCCAGCCCCGTGACCACCACCATTTTTCTTTCCCCAAATCTTGGTCTTCATGCCAGCTCATTTTTCTAGATCCATTAAAAAAAAACACCTTTTTTTATGTTTTTATTTATTTTTGAGAGAGAGCGAGCATGGGCCAGGGAGGGGCAGCGAGAGAGGGGGACCCAGAATCAGAAGCAGGCTCCAGGCTCCGAGCTGTCAGCGCAGAGCCCGACGCGGGGCTCGATCCCACGAACCGCGGGATCATGACCTGAGCCGAAGTCGGACGCTCAACCGACTGAGCCCCCCAGGCGCTCCTGGATCCGCTTTAGAGCAGTTTCGCTTGTTAATTCCCAAGACGCATTCTTTGGGCATTTCTGTTGTCACTGCACCAAATCTTTAGAGTTGCATGGGGGTCGTTGCGAAATTGTGTCTTTTCCCTGTAAATGCGCACCCCCGGTGGTACAGATGTTTGTTTGAAGTCACGCTTCCTGGGTATTTTCTGTGCGGGACCGGGTGACCTTTGTCAAGGTCGGGAAGATTGGCGTTTGCTGGCACAGAGGCGACTTTCTTGAAAGCTCACAGCCCGCGGGGGGCTCTGGATGGCGTGTTGGTGGTTGTAACACAACCGTGAGCTCGGACGTCTCTTTGCAGGGGCTGCTGTCAGGACTATTAACCCCCCACCTCCGACCTTTTTAGGTTTGACACCTACAGATCCAAGAAGGAGAGTGAACGCCTGGTCCAGTACTTGAACGCGGTGCCCGCGGGCAGGATCCTTTCGGTGGCAGTGAACGACGAGGGGTCCCGGAACCTGGATGATGCGGCCAGGAAGGCCATGACGAAGCTGGGCAGCAAACACTTCCTACACCTTGGATTCAGGTACCGCGGTCAGGGCCGTCGCCTCCGCCAGGACACCAGGGCAGCCCCGCAGCTCACCCTAGCCTCTGTCCCTTCCCCACGGCACGCCGCCCCCCAGTGCCGGCCTGGGGAGTGGCGGGCAATCGCCCGTCTGCACGGGGCAAGTCTGGGCGCCCAGGTTTTCTTGCAAAAGCTTCTTCCCTTCTTAAAACGCAGCGGTCTTTCCTTGCACGGGCTCGTCCATTTCCTTCAGCCGCTTACAAAATATGAGCTGGACGTCTGCACAGCTCGCTGCGCCTTCCGTTTCTTTGGCCAAGGGGTCATCGCGTGCCTCGGGGACTGGCAGACATCCGTGTCCCTGCCCGGCCCCCTCCGGCCCCTGTCCCTGCCCCCTCCGGGGACTGGCAGACATAAAGTGTCCCTGCCCGGCCGCACGCCCGGGGAGGAGGGCCCCTGGGTTGTGCTCCACCGTGGTCTGCTTTGTCTCGGGTTATAAGCTTCATGCCTGACGTTGGGGCACACGCATTGGCCCCGAGAGGAAGCCGTTTGCCCCACGGTGGCCACACCTTTTTATCACGTTGGATCCGACCTCAGCACGGTGGGACGTTGGGGTTGAGGTTATCCATCCTGTGGCTGCTGGAAGATGGGGGGGGCCCTCCCTTCAGCTCTGCAGATCTGGGAGCAGGATCAGGGACAGCAGAGCACTTCCCCCCCCCCGCCCCCACCCCCGTTTTATGGGCTGGACAGAGATTCCTGGGCAAGGCAGGGGTGGGGGCTCAGGGGATGCTCCGGGCTCCGGGGTGATTCCCTGACAGCCCAGGGGCTGTTTCTTCTAGAAGGGCCTGGACAGGAGCTCAAGTAGTCTGAGATGACGAGCACACCTTGGTTTCTCGAGGTTCCTTTGTTAGCAGAAGCCGAGGGGGCTCCCATCCCCTTGTTAATAAGCCAGAAGGCCAGTTTCTTGATTTGTCACGTGAGAGCTGTCCACCAGGGGACTGGGCTCTTAGGGCCTCGGCAGAAGAAGGTAACAGCTGAGGGCCCACCGTCGGGCCTCTGATTTGGCCTGAATTTGCACGTCCTGGTAGGTGTGGCTGCAGGAAGTGACTCGTTCTTTCTCTGCACGGTTCCTGCATCCGTACAGTGGGATACATTGGGAGCCGTCTCAAAGGACCGTTGGGAGGGATTAGATGTGACAACAGGAGAGAAATATTTGCCATCGCCTCTGGCACAGAATAAGGATTCAAATAACGTGTCTCCTGATGAACAAAGCCACCGGAAGGGGGGATGCTCGGTCACGTTCTGTCACGGCCGATCCCCCGGGCCTGGGACACAGGCAGGAGGGATTCCGTTCTCCCCCCCTCGTTTGCACAGACGCACTGTGAGGGGCAAACTCAAAACCTCTAAAAGCAGTAGAACTGGGACCCGGGGCTGCAGTTATCGGGCAGATGCCGGCCCGAGGCTCTGGGCCTGACGACGTGTGCTGAGCTCTCATGGGAAGGCAGGCGTGGAAAGGGACGTGGCAGGGACGCGTGAGCAAGAGGCTGGGCCGAGCTGCAGGTGAGGGTGAGGACAAGCAGATTCCCCACGAGAGACTGCAGGTGCAGAGGCCGGGGGTGGGGGCAGCGCACAGGTGGCAGAAGAGGGTTAGGGCGGGAGGGGACAGAGGGGGGGCTGAGGAGGTGGGCAGGGGACGAGCTTTCGCGCTGTGCCAAGGCGTGTGGATTTCACCTGAAGGGCAACGGGGAGCCACTGAAGGGTCCCAAGCAAGAGAGTGACCCAGTCAGATCCCAGGCGTGAATGAAGGCTCCCTGTCCGAAATGAAAGCTCTAAACAAAAAGAACAAAAGCTCTCGAGTGCCGTAATCTATCGGCATCTCAGGCTGTAGCAGGCATCGGGGCAGGCGGGAGACAGAAATGGGTAAGAAAACCTTCCTGCCTTACAGCACGCTTCGGGGGAGGAAATCTCTTCCTCCTCCGTCCCCCATGGGGAGCGAGACGCGTCTCCTCCTTCCCCAAAGCCAGTGCGGCTCCCGGGGCAGCCGGGGCACAGGCCCTCCGGGGTCTCCCTCGTGCTGACCTCCTGGGCAGCCTGGAAAGAACCTTTCTCCCTTGGAACCTGTGTCCTTGTTTTCCTAAAGGAACCAGAGCGCTTGCTTCAGGACCAAACTGAGCCTGGCGGGTGGCATGTGGGTCCGCGGGCTTGTTTGTTTGTGATTCATACCTGGGTTCATGCCAGAGTGGGGTTGACGACGCTCGGGGCAAGCCAACAGCGGGCGAGCCAGGTGGCGAGGAAGCCCAGCGCTGGCAGAGAGAGGCCCCTGTTCTCCGGAGCCGGGAAGCCCCGCCAGGGGGCCGATCGCCCCCGAACGGCGGGGAGGGCTGCCCGCTGGTGGCAGTCTGTCTGGGCTGTGCCTCCGCTACAGGTTGAGACGTGCGAAGAACTTGACTTTTGCTTGTTGGTTTTTGCAGACACCCTTGGAGTTTCCTAACTGTGAAAGGAAATCCCTCTTCTTCCGTCGAAGACCACATTGAATATCACGGTAATAAATAGTTGGCATAGAGGCTGCATCCCCGCCGGCGTCCCTCTGGACACGGGGCCCTTTCCGAACCCCCCTCTTCCCTCCGAGCATCGCGGAGCCCCCTTCAACACCCTTCGTCCCGAACGTGTCACGCCAAAGCGGCAAAAGCCGATCACAGAGATAATATTTAACGTATTTGCAAAGAGGTGGTCGCTGACTTAATTCGAAACGAGTGACCTAGGACAGGCGGGAGCTGGGACAATCCAGCAGAGATAGTCTTTGGAGCTAAAAAGAGTGTATGGATGGGCCTTTACCACCCAGGGGGGCCTCCTCTGCCCGGAGAAGTCTGCGGAAGGCACTGTTCTAATCTTAGGCGGGAATTCACGTGAGAAATTACGCGCCTCTGAAATATAGACTTGCCGGAACACCGGAATCAAGCTTTTATTTGTTTTAATGCTTATTTACTTGTGAGCGAGAGCTCACATGCAAAACAGGCTCGGCGCTGGCAGCAGAGAGCCTAACGCGGGGCTCGAGCTCACGAACCGCGAGGTCATCCCCCGGAGATGAAAACCCTGGGTCGACTGAGCCACCCAGGCGCCCCTCCAAAAGTTGACTCTTAAAACAGAATCACGAGAAGGGACAGTAGACGTAATCCACCGTCTGCTTCCCAAGTAGAAACATTGGCCTGAAACTTTTTTTTTTTTTTTTTAAAGAAATAGCTCAGGATCCACGGGCGTAGGGGGCTTTCTCTGCCTCGGAATCACAGCACTCAGAATCCGGTGGGGGGGTCTGGTCTCTCCTGCAGGGCACCGCGGCTCCGCTGCTGCCCGGGTGTTCAAAGTGTTCCAGACGGAGCACGGCGAGCATTTCAACGTTTCTTCATCCAGCGAGTGGGTTCAAGGTGAGGACTTTGGGGCCCCCAGGACAAAACCCAACAGTGGCCGGGACTTCCCGTCTTGGCAAAGCAAGCGTGTTTCTCTTGCGGCCGCAAGGCCACCGGATGGCCGTAAATTAAATTTGCAACGGACGGAAAGCTGTCCCTAATGAATCGGTCCAGTGCGGCCGCTAGCCCAGAGGGACGCCCTCCCTCTTGAATTCTCTCTGTGCCAAGCAGCAGCACTGGACGGGAGACAGCCGGGGCGGGACAGGGGTGCAGAGAGCTCCCCTCGGTGCCCCCAGTAGTGGGCTGATGGCAGATCCCGTCTTCGTCCTCGGGGCGCCCGGGGCCACGCAGAGCGGGACGTGCCCTCGCCGGCCCTTCCTGCCCGACCCTGCCCTTTGCTTTCTGTCTAGACGTGGAATGGACGGGGTGGTTCGACCACGACAGAGTGCCGCAGACTAAAGGCGGGGAGAAAATTTCAGACCTCCGGGCGGCTCACCCGGGAAAAATCTGCAACCGCCCCATCGATATACAGGTACCGAGCTCTCTTCTAGTCTCCCCTTCCCTTGCCTCCTCCTAAGCCTGCACCCCTAGCCGTGGCTGAGAGCGCCCGGCGTGGGGCTGGGGCCTCTCCTTCAGTCTTCCCGCAGAGTTGACCTCCTTTGGGCCCTGGGGTGCACAGGATCCAGTGGGATTTGGGGTGCAGGCTGAACCCAGCCCGGGTGGAGAGCACACCCACCGCCCTGTGCTCCACTGAGCTGAATACAAACGCGCGATGGGAGAACGGACGGCGTTTGCTCGGCAGTTTCCCTTGGAGTTCCTCCACCCCGAGGGGACCCTGAGCTGCTCCTTCCCCACGGCGGGTGCCCGTCAAGTGACGTAGGGCCCCCGTTTCCTCCCAGGCAACAATGCAGATGATCACTGTTCCCCCGCGCGATCATTCTGTCGATTTAGTGCAACAATATGTGAAGTGCCCGTAGATTTTATTATTTCACAATTGTTTTATTTCGTTATCGTGATAATACTGTTAATTATTTTACAATCGCTAATTATCGGCCTTAGCTTTTTGCAAGGAGCAGGCAAGTCTGCGACTCCTGCTTCTGTGGGGGAGCTGGACGCCCCCCCACCCCGCCCCCCAAGATCATGGGCGTGAGTGCATCACTGGCAGGAAAGGGCGGAGTTAAATGACGCCTGAGCTCACTGCTACGTGGCTCTTTGAAGCCAAGGACGACAGATACCTGCTGTGTTCAAACTAGTGTTTCCTGAAAAGCCCCCCCCCGCCCCCGCCACCCTATTATTAAGTAGGCTGACTATACTTTGCCTCCCGTTTCCCCCGCCCTGGTCCCTTTGGTCTCTGTGCCAAAGAGGACAACAGCTGTGGCCTTGCTCTAAATTGCCTGGCCCTGATGACGGCCACAGTCCTGATGCAGACACACCCGGGCTCCGGGACGAGCCCCAGCTGGCAGGGATCACGACCTCCTCTGAGCCCGCTCCCTGAACCCTCCACCTGGCCTTGAAGCTGCCCGCCCGTCCGTGCCCATCCCCGAGACCCCACTGTGTGCCAAGCCCTGGGCCGGGAGGCGGGCAGAGCCCGGCTCCTTGCCCTCCCCGGAGCCCGGGGTCCGGCGGGAGGAGACGGACGCAGAGCAAGGCACACAGGGCGGCTCAGCAGCGGGAGGTGGGGGGAAGCACGGGCTCGGTGTGGGTTCGAATTTCGGCTCTGCTTTGCGCTGGCTTGGCTTGCCCCGGGGAGGTCACACAGCCTCTCTGGGTGTCCGCCTTGGTACCCGTAAAGCCAGAGCCCTCCTGGCTTGCCCGGAAGGAGGAAGGAGGTCGTGCGTGCCAGATTTTCCCGGGCTCCCCCCCTTCCATGATGCGGAACCACGTGGGGCGCCAAGAGTTTGGACAGAGCCCGTCCTCTGGAGCGCACAGCTGCAGGGCTGGCATGCGGGTCGTGAGGGGCTCCGGAAAAAGTGCCGTGTCACCGTGGAGAGGCCGTAACGGCTCAGCCAGCGGCCGGCGGGGCCGTCAGTGGTTTGGACCCCGAGGACCCGAGGACCCCGGGCGGGGCACCCGTCCATCCTGCGAGTTTGCGCCGTTCTCCTTGTCACAAGACCGTTTTCTTGCGACCAAAGTGACACTTGGTCCCTGGAAGAAAAGTCTCGGGCCGCAGCAAACAGCATCTGCAGCAGGGGCACTCTGAGGCTTGGGGCAATACGTCTATAGCATGAATCATCACCCTCCTTCCATACGAGAAGAAAGATGATTTTGCCCTGTAATTTCCGTGCCGTTTCCAGGCCACTACGCTGGACGGCGCTAACCTCACCGCCGAGGTTGTCCACAAAAAAGGCCAGGATTACAGGTTTGCGTGCTACGACCGGGGCCGCCCCTGCCACGGCTACCGCGTGCGGTTCCTCTGCGGGAAGCCTGGTAAGCAGCTTGCCGGGGACGGGGGTGTGGCTGGGTCGGCCGCCTCTGCGCGTGGCGGTGACACGGGGCCACTGCCGAGCTCGCCGTGGGGAGCGCGTCTGTGACACGGGAGCCGGGGGACGGTCCTGGGAGCTGGCAGCAGCCGGCAGAGCCCCGCCCTGCCCGAATGCCTTTCAGGAAGGGGAAGGGCCTGGTCCAAGAAAGCCAGGGCGCGGGGGACAGAGCCGACCTCCCTGCGCCCCCCCCCCCCCCCCCGCAGAGGCGCGACCTCGCGGCCTCTGGGTGCTGTTATTTTAAACCCGGATCCCGAGGTGCCTGTAAGGAGGGCCTGGAAATGGTCAGCCGGTCCGTGGAGGCCCTTGGCCCCGTCCAGAAGGCAGTCATTAGGGACAAGAGTTCTCCCGGGGGGTGGGGCGGAGGGCTTACGGCTACTGTAAATACTAGTTGAGGGGAACTATATTTGTGGTGCAGCTGAGCAGAGTGGGTGTGGTGAGGGACCGCATTTAACTCTCGCAAAGGAGCCGGTGGAAAATTGCCCTGGCTAATGAACGGCTCTTTTCTGGTAAGGTTTTGTTGACTTCAAAAACCTGTACCGAGCCTGGGATGGGCTGAGCCTGGCGACTTGGGTTTGGATAGGCAGACCTAGCATTTATTTAGGGAGGGGAAGGGGGGAGGCGGGCGGTCAAAAGTTCGCCAAGGACCGAGGGCCGTTTCTCAGTCCCTCCCATTTGGGGTTCCAGTGAGACCCAGACTCACCGTCACCATCGACACCAACGTGAACAGCACCATCCTGAACCTGGAGGACGATGTGCGGTCGTGGAAGCCCGGAGACACGCTGGTCGTCGCCAGCACCGATTACTCCATGTACCAGGCAGAAGAGTTTCAGGTGCTCCCCTGCAGAGCCTGTGCCTCCAACCAGGTCAAGGTGGCAGGTAAGACCCTGACTAGCCCCCCCCCCCCCCCCCGGGCCGAGCGGACCTATTAGGCTTAAAGTTGTCGGAAAGCAGGGAAAATCTGTATCAGTTAGCCACCGCCATGATAATGCTGCGTAACAAAACAGACCCGAACCTCTGTGGCAAGTGCTTATCTCTTACTCCCGCCTCTGCAGCTTGTCGAGGGTTTAGCTTCCCTGGACCGAGCGTGGCTCCAGGGGGCCAGCGGGGTTCAGGTCGGCTCTCACGTGACTGAGAGTCACCCGCGACTCTCACTCTTCCCAGGACATTGTCTTTCTGTTGGGGAGGGAACAGAAACACAAGGGGACTCAGGGCCTGGGCTCAGGACTGGCATGTTCTCACAGCCACATTCCACCGGACAAAGCAAGTAACATAGTCAAGCTCAACACGGAAGGGCGGGTCGGCCTGCGTCTCCCGCCAAGGATGAAGGAAGGGAGTGAATATTTGTTAGGCCATAATGCGACCTACCGCAGTTTTAAATCCTTTCCGTCTATAGCTTCTGGGTCTTCCTTATTCTTCTCCTAAACGTAGATTTAGTGGTGCTGCAATTTATATCACGTGAGGTTCCTGGAGTCTGAGACTGTTGGGGTTAAAGGTATAGTCCAGGTCAATCGTTATTAGTGGAGAGAGTTCCGTATCCATCCACGAGGGTGCTTTGGCCCCAAGCAACGGAATCCAACTTGACTGTCGCAAGCAAAAAAGGAATTTTCCGGGAGGCCGTTGAGCTTAGACAAGCGAGGGAGGAGCTGGAGAGCCCAGGTGCACAAGGACGAGGGGCAGGGGCCGCTTTGGGGGTCTGGGTAGCGGGAGCGAGCGGGAAGCGTCCTCGGGCATCACTGTCCGAAAGCGCCTTGCACGGTCCCTGGACATGATGCTCAGGTCACCTTCCAGGGAGAGAGCAGACGGGCTGGGGGCTTGTGTGCCGCCCACCCCCCCCCCCCCCGGTGGTGCACCCTCACCGGCGCCCCTCTGGGACTACTGAATGGAGAGCGGCTCCCTCCATGAAGGAAAGGCCCCCCTGAGCGTTAGGCCCTGGTCTTTGCCGGGCGACTCCTGTGTCCCCAGGGCCAGTACACGTGCACGGGTCCCCTGGGATGTCAGGTGTCCTCCTGGACTGTCGGTGAGAGTGGCACTGAGACGGTTTGAGCTGATGTCAACTGCTCAGTGTGCGGTGACGTGTGGCTCCGGGGTGGCACTTGTGGTTCTGAGAGGGTGAAAAGCCCGTGACGCCCGTGCCTGCACGGAGGTCGACGGAGGAGCGCCCGGCAGAGACCAGCCCGCGTCTGCACCCCTGTGTCTCACACCCCAAGGCTCGGGGGCAGAGGTCCCGATGGGGGAGCTGTGAGCGCCGAGAGGCCCAGAGAGCCGAGGGCCACGCGGTGTCAGGGCACGCGGGCCTCGCCCGATGGTTCGGCTTGGGCACGGGTGCTGGAGAGCGGCCCTGCTGGGCAGCGTTTGGCCAACAGGCCCGGCTGCTTCCTGAAGCTTCTTAGGACTGGACACAGAGTGGGATGGGGCTGCCCTGGGCCCCGAGCACCCAGGGAGGACAGGAGAAGAGGCTGGAGCCCCTGGGGACCCTCCTCACTCCGTTGGCGTAGCACGGCCTTGCCTGTATTTCCACCAGGCCCCCACCCCTCCCCCCCTTCCCAGCCCCCACCCCTCCCCCCCTTCCCAGCCCCCACCCCCTTACAGTTATTAGGCTCCCGGTGAACCGTGCACTTGGCTCAGGAGCATTGGGCACTTACCTGAGGACAGCGCCCCCTGGTGGGCAGCATCAGAAAAGCCCCAGGTAGTTGGGGGCAGGGGGCATGTCCGTCCGTCTGTCTGTCTTGTGGAGGCCCACGTTTCTCCCGTTCAGCCCCAAGCCTGTTCTCTGCCTCCCCATCCCCCACTGGCATGAAGCAAAGGCCCACCCGGCCCGTCTTTTCCAAAACCGTGCCCCCAACAGTGACGGCTCAGGGTCCCCCCCAGGGCCGGTTGCAGGGAGGGACACAGCCTTCCTGGGCCCTCTGTCCTCGCTGCCCCCAGATTCCAGGAAACAGGCTTCCGTGCACACGAAAGGCTTTCTGACAGGAAACAGATGGGCATAACAGAGTCACGAAACTGTGACTCATCTGCAAACGCTGTTTCAGTCCTGCCGTCCGCCGTGTGGATGCCCACACCTCCTGACAGGGCGGCTGGAAACCTGAGACCTTCTCCACCTCCGTTCCCACACCCCGGCTTTTCCTCGCACCCCCTCCCCACCCCGCGCGCGCACCTCTAAACGGCACCGCTGTCGGCTGGTGTCGCCCCCTCTTGTGTCCCGTGATTGCCGAGCACGCGACGAGAGCCATCTTGTTCACTCCTCGCGGTGACCCCACAAGGTGGCGGCCACCATCTCTCCAGGACAAAGGAGGACACTCAGGTTCAGGGAACTCAAACGGCCGGCCTCCTGCTTTCCATCGCAGGCACCAGCCACACGAAGCTCTTCACATCTCATTAAAATTAAAGTGGAAAATCGTACCGCTCCGTCACCCCAGCCAGATCCCGCCTGTCCGGTAGCCGCGGGCGGCCTGTGGCTGGCGTACTGGATGCGCACGACGGAGCATGTCCGTCACCTCGGGGGGCTCTAGCGGGGCGAGCTGGTGTCTGTGCGGGCGGCCGGAGCCGGGACTCAAACCCCGAGCTCTCTGGCTCCAAAGGCTCCCTGTTCTACTCCGTCCCCCTCCTCGGAGGCCCCCGTCCCCAGGGCCTCCACTCGATGACTGGCCCGTAGGAGGGACCTGGGGACTCCGTGGCTTAGATTCCTCCAGCCCGAGCCCCTCCCCCAGACGCACCGGGCCCTGCTGGGTCTGAGCCTCAAGTGCACCTGCCCGTCTCTCCCACTGGAAGGGCCTCGATGCCTTTCCTCTCTGGACCCCCGAGTGTCCAGGTGGGAGCCCAGCCTACAGAGAGAGCTCGGGCTATGGAGCCAGGGCACCTGCAGAGCCCCCCGCCGCTTTCCCCGCCCCCGCCCCCCCACCCCTCACCTGTGCCCGTGGCCCTCCTGGGTTATTTGGGACAATCTGGCTCAGCCATATCTGCTTTCTCTGGTTGGCCCTCACACATCAGCGGTGGGAGGAGCAAAGGAGGGGTGAGGCTGGGTGGGAGGGTCTGCAGACAGGACGGGGGGGGGGGGTAGGGTGCGGGTGGGAAAGCAGGGCCTGGGAGTGGCCTGTGAACACGGCAGCAGGACAGATAAACTGGCTGTGCGGTTCTGTAAAGGCCCTGATGGGTTCCACAAAGGTCCTGACGGGTCCTGTAAAGGTCCTGATGGGTCCTGCAAAGGTCTTGTAAAGGTCCTGATGGGCTCTGTAAAGGTCCTGACAGGTTCCACAAAGGTCCTGATGGGTCCTGTAAAGGTTCTGACAGGTCCTGCAAAGGTCCTGATGGATTCTTTAAAGGTCCTGACAGGTCCTGTAAAGGGCCCACGGTGCAGAAGGGGCAGCCGAAGTGAAGCGTTCCTGCCCTGTGCCCCCCTGGCCCCCGCTGCAGGTGTTGGAAAGACACAGTCCCTCCGCATCCCTCGAGGCTGTTCCCTCACCCTGCGTTCCCCACACCCGCCCCCCCCCCCCTGTGGAACAAAGAAAAATGCCCCACCTGGAGGTGAGGCAGTGGCGGGAGCCCCAGACTCCAGTCTTCCCTGAGGATGACGCGGGCCACAGCCACACGTGCCACTTGGGCCACACCAGCCCCTGCCACGTGCCAGGCACTGTGTTGAGCTCATTCCATGGATTAACTCACTTAACAAGCACAGTTACCTTTGAGACGCGTGCGGTTCGTATCTTCTGGAAGGAGGGCCCGAGGTCCCGGGAGCGAAAGTGCTGTGCTCGGGGACTCACAGCTCTCACCTGAGTCCCCATCTGACACGGGCAGCCTGGCTGCATCACCACCAGCCGTGTTGGAGAGGAGGGCGGATCCCTGGGGAGGCCCTCTGAGCCCCCACCAGAGTGGACGCCCCTGGTCAGCACACACGGGTTCCACTGGTCCCCGCCCGTAGTCGAGGGGGACACTGGGCCCCCAAACGCACACGCTGTGAGGGGTGGCTGGGCGTCCGGGGATGTGTGTCTGCAGGGGGAGGCCTGGTGTCCTGGCCCGGCCGGCATGGCGGGAACCCCGGGGAGTGAAGGCGCCTGTGGAGGATGGTGGGAGGGCTGGGCAGAGAAGGAGCCGTCGGGGCGGGATCGGGAAGCACAGAGTCCCCGTGACTGGCTGGCAGGACCCAGCCTGCACGCTCCCTTCGACCTCTCCCATCACGCGTTCCGCCCCGGGAAGCGAGTGCCACGCCGTGCCTCCCGGGACCCGGCCCGTCGGGCGGGCACTCGTGTGGGCAGGTTCCTGGGCGCCTCTGAGCCGCCTCCGGTGCCCCGGCCGGCCAGCCTTCCTTCTGTCCTCCGGGGACAGGCCGAGGTGTGGCCTCGCTTGGTGGAGGGGGCCCGTGAAGCTTCCGCGGGGGCTGCTGGCGAAGCCGCCCACGGGGGTGGCCGCTGGTAAAGAAAAGAAGGTCCTCGTCCAGCGTGCTCAGAGGCACGAGCCAGGCAGACCAGGGGCCTTGTCATCAATTCTTGTAGCTGCCGCTGGCCTTCGGGCGTTTAAAGCTGGCGGGCACGTGAGGCCCCTTCCTCGCTGGCCGGAAGCAGCTTCCTGCCCAGCGCCCCCGGCGGGTCACCCAGAGCCCCGCGCAAAGCTCTTTGCACAGGAGACTCTTCCCCGCCACCTGCCCGGAAGGCCCTGCCCCTGCATGCTTGTGAAGGTCACAGGGCCGACTGGCAGGAGACCGGACCGGCCAGGGACGAAGGAGAGGCTTCCAGTCAGCACAGAGCCCAAAACGGGGCTCGACCCCACGAACTGTGAGGTCACGACCCGAGCCGAAGTCGGATCCATCACAGCCCCAGCCTTTGCGCGCAGGGGTCAGCCGTGTCGTGGGCTGATATGTGTGCCCGTCGCTCGAGCCGGGGCCGCAGGGACGGCGTGTGCCCTGCGGTGCGGGCCGGGAATCCCCACGAGAGGTTGTGCCCTGTCACCGTGTCCCCGAATGGAGGAGACACCTGCTGGCCGGGTCAGCCGTCCCAGTGACGAGCCACGTTTAGAGGCAGGCCAAGATGTCTTTATTCCATGGAAGAATGTGGGACTGGGTGGGGGCGGATTTGGGGCCAGAAGACAGTTCCAAGGTTCCGGGGTCCTGTCGCCCCGCACCTTCCTGGGGTGCACCTGCCCCACCCCCGGGGGAGCAGGAGGAGGCTGGAGGGGAGTAAGTGAGTCGGATTGGACCAGTGGAGTGGTGCTGGGAGCTGGCACCCTCGCCCAGGGACTCACGGCGGCATGAGGGGACCAACCTTAGCTACAGTGGCATCCGAGTGGTGCAGAAAGGTCTTTTGATAGTATTTTTAAGGATAGGAGGCCTGGATGAGTTTGGAGACAGAACCTAAGGCACCCACACGAGGCAAGAGAAGAAGTTACTGGAATCCAGGCCCCTGAGACTGTGGGAGGGGTGGGGCTGGGGTCGGCATACAGGGGAGAGAGTACGTGTCCGTCCGTCCTTCCTTCCTTCCTTCCTTCCTTCCTTCCTTCCTTCCTTCCTTCCAGGCTGGCTAGGACACACCCACATTCCAGGGCTGGGGGTGGAGCCAGAGTGGGGGGGGCTGGTATGACAGCCGCCCTCAGGGAAGCTGGGACACGTGGGTCTCCCGGGGAGCACATGGGGAGCTACAACCGACAGACCCCAGGAGGGACCGATGCCGGGAGACGAATGCCATCTCTGCATGGCCTTTGTTCTTCCATAGAATGGGACCGGGTTGGGGGACCACGGGGACCTCTGAGCACACGGGGCCCGGTGATACACCAGTGGCAGCCGTGGGGTCTGAAGCACAGGCCTCTGATCCCCCGCCCCCGTCTCCACCCTAGGGAAGCCCCTGTACCTGCACATCGGGGAGGAGATCGACGGTGTGGACATGCGGGCAGAGGTCGGGCTCCTGAGCCGGAACATCGTGGTGATGGGGGAGATGGAGGACCGGTGTTACCCCTACAGCAACCACATCTGCAGCTTCTTTGACTTCGATACCTTTGGGGGCCACATCAAGGTAAGGGTCCTCGCGGCCGGGAGGATTCGCACGATGCCAGCCTGGCCGGGACCCTGGCCGGGCCGGGCCGGGGAGCAGAAGGCAGGACCAGCGGGGGAGAGACCAGAGCCGTGCTGTCCCAGCCGTCAACACTCGGCCGCAAGACCGACGAGTCCGCCCCCCCAGTCACACGGCACACCGCGCTCCCTGCCTTCATGGCTTCCGACCCTCAGCCACTGTGCTCGTTCTCTTTCTTCGGTGTCCCCCCCACCCCAAGGGCTCCCCGGAAGAACGGGCATTTGACTCACACAGCCCCACTTACCCCAGATCCATGCAAGTTCAGATCAAACAGCAAGAAGGGGGGGGGGAAGTTCAGGGTCTGGCGCGAAGCTTGCCCGCGAGCGTTCCAGGCAGAGACGGAGATCCCGGCTGCCGCGTCCTCCCCCGGCAATAAGTCGAAACGGCTGTCGGTTCTCGGAGCTCGTGCTTGCCTAGCGTTGAGCCCAAAGAGGACGTTCGTCGGCATCCCTGTGTAAGGTGCCCTTACCCGGCACCTTGGGTACCGTTGGACGCCCAGAAGCTCCGTGTGTGGCCGCTGCTGTCAGCGACTTAGGGTCAAAGCTGGTAGAACATGGCTGCCTTAGAGCTTCGCGAAGCGACGATCACGTGTCGTCAGGATAAGGTTTTTCGGTGACCCCACTGCGCGCCAGAGGGAAGCTTCCAGACCTCACCACCGGAGCCCCACCGGCTCCAACGTGGCAGCGTCATGCTGTGAAGCCACGTGTTCCCCCAGGGGCTCCCAGCGTCCCCGGGCCCTCCTCGTTCAACGCGAGGTCACGGTAAACCTCCAGAAGCAGGTGCACCCATGCCCCCGTCTGGTTCTGGGGAGGAAGGGGGCAGGGGTTGCGGGAACGTCCTCGGCCGAGAACCGTTTCCAGCTCCCTGCCACGTGGCCCGAACCAGACCTCGGAGGCATTGCCAGGGCGGCCCTACCAGAGCCGCGTTGCGGGTGACGCCTGCCTTGGGGACAGTGGTCGGCGAGTCCCGAAGGTCACCCTACTCTAGTGGCAGAGGGCCGAGCCCCACTGTCGACGGGAGGCATTTCTGGAGCATGCTTTTGTGGACGTGCACGGTGTAGCCAGCCCGTGGGGCACCCCGAGCCCCGCACACGCTCCCGGAGTCACGGGCTGATGGGGACTTGGGCTCAGCGTCCCCTTCCTCTCATCTGGAGACCGTGGGCCAGGCCACAGGCTCCTTCTGCCCCATCCTGCTGGCAGGGGGAGGGCTCATGCCAGCCTCCCCCCGCCCCCGGTTATCTCGGGGATCCCCCTTCCTCGCGACCCTCAGGGCCTAGGAGTGGGGGCGGGGATGGAAGCGCTCTCCCCCAGTCCGTCCACGGGTCCCCGCCCCGGGGAAGTTCGCCGCCTGGTAACATCCCTGTGTTCCTCACGGAGCCTCGACCCCCCCCCCCAGGGGATGAGAAGGGCCATTTGCACATCGGATCTTTGATTTGCTTCGTCGCCGAGGCAGGGGTCGGCCCAGCCCCTTGCGTGTCCGGGACGTGGCAGCAGCGAGGAGCGGGGGCGCCTCCCAGACCGTTCTGACCCTCGGCTCCCCTCTTCCAGTTCGCGCTGGGCTTTAAGGCGGCCCACCTGGAGGGCGTAGAGCTGAAGCACATGGGGCAGCAGCTGGTGGGGCAGTACCCCATTCACTTCCACCTGGCGGGCGACGTGGACGGACGGGGAGGCTACGACCCACCCACCTACGTCCGGGAGCTCTCCATCCACCACACGTTCTCGCGCTGCGTCACCGTGCACGGCTCCAACGGCCTGCTGGTAAGTACCTCCTTCCCGGGGAAGAGGAGGGTCTGTCCCCTCCCCGCTCTCGAGTCCCCTTCCTCCAGGCCGTCGGCACTGGAGGGACGTCCGGATCTGCTCGTTTCTCCTGGGGCCCCTGGGGATTGAACCATCCTTGGCTCAGAGTTGAGCCTGGGGCCAGTTGAGAGCAGGTGTCCAGCCAAAAAGGAAAGAGGGAACGGGGCTGTGCCTTTGCCAAAGGGCGCCGGGCTGCAGGAGGGGCGAGTTGGCAGTGGTCCCGGGGAATCCCGGCCCCTCGGTGCCGCGTTAGAGCGGCGGGCCATTCAGGGACCTTTCCGCGGCACGACGGGTCTGCCAGGGCCGGCAAGGGGGTCATGCCAAGACTCCACGCTGTCGCCTCTGCCCCCCACGCTTGTGGCGGCTGCGACAGACCTTTCCCCTGTGGCACCGGGTGTCCTTCAACGCGAGCTCCGCCGGGAGGCACGGCTTCGTGAGCAGAGTGTGCATCAGGCTTGTCCCGATTTGCACAGCCGATTTTTACTCTAAGTTGTTCTTCTTTAAATGAACTACACTTGGGGGGCGCCCGGGGGGGGGGGGGGCTCGGCTCAGTCAGAATCGGACTCTTCATTTTGTTCAAGTCACGTTCTAACGGTTTGTGGGATCGAGCCCCCAGTCAGGCTCTGTGCTGAGTTTGGAGCCTGCTTGGGATTCTCTCTCCCTGTGCCTCTTTCTCTGTGCTTCTCAAAAAAACAGAGAGAGAGAGAGAGAGAGAGAGAAAGAAAGAAAAAAGGAAGGAAGGGAGGAAGAGAAGGAAGGAAAGAAAGAAAGAAAGAAAAGAAAAGATAAAGAACTCAACTTATATCCTCTAGAAATTCTAAGATCTGGATGTTACAAGCTGGCATTCTGCAAGCTGAATCCAGATTGTGTTTTGTTTGGCTTAAATAGTGTTTAAAGAAACATTGGGATTAGTTTCCATCATTTAAAAATTAAGAGGTTTCACATAGAAATCTGGATTCTTGGCTTCTCTTGAAAAGTGGTCTTGGGGGGCGCCTGCGTGGCTGGGTCGGTTAAGCGTCCGACATCGGCTCGGGTCGTGGTCTCGCAGTTCGTGGGTTCGAGCCCTGCGTCAGGCTCTGTGCTGATGGCTCAGAGCCTGGAGCCTGCTTCGGATTCTGTGTCTCCCTCCCTCTCTCTCTCTTTCTCTCTGCCCCTCCCCTGCATGCTTTTGTTTGTCTCTCCAAAAATAAAACGTTCAAAGATTTTTAGTTTCAAAAAGCAGTTGCATTTGAAAAGAGAAAAAAAAACAGAAAAGTGGTCTGGGTAGGCAGGTGGGACCCACACTCCAGCATGGCACAAGGCCCTGGGGCGGGGCCACAGCGAAGCCGGGCCTGCATCCGAGGGCTCCCCTGAGTCCCCCACTCCCTAGCACATTACAGCAAACGCCCCAGGCCGGTGCCACTCGACCCATGGCCCGTTGGCCCCCAAAGCCCCCCGAGTTTGCAGCCCTGCTCGAAGCCCGACGTGATGGACCTCCGCACCGGGCAGGGGAGGGGTGAGGCCGTCAGCGTGCTGCCGGTGAAGCCGCTGCCAGTCTGCTCGGTGCGCTCCCATGTTCTGAGCGGTGCCTGCTGCCTCAAGTGCTCGGATTTGAAAACCCGCTGAGAAACGGGGGGACGGCATGGGCCACGGGGCCTGGTCTGGAAGCCTCGGGTTCTAGGGCTTGGTCCCCAGGGTATGAGCCGTGGCACCCCGTTCCCTCCTCAGCCGGGTGGGGAAGTCGCAGCAAACACAGGCATGGGTGCCACAGGGGACCCCCCGGCCGGGGCTCCCGTGGAAGCTGACCGGGGGCCGGGGCTGATCCTCCCCGGCGGGAGGGGAGGGGTTGTGCTGAACGTGAACTTTTTTCCGGCTCAAGGAAGAGGGAAGGGGGGCGTCTTCTGGCTGAAGCAGAAAGACAGTAGGGTTCACAAGGGGAAACCGTCAGTGAGGCAGCACGAGGCACCCGACAAGCTCGGGCTCTGGGTTTTCATCAGCTCCTGCCACTCGCGAGTCGTGCGGCCTGAGCCAGTCACCGTACCTCTCCGTGCCTCTGTTTCCTCCTCTGGAAAACGGGGAGGCGGGCAGGACCCGTCCCACGCGGTGGTTGTAAGGAGGGAGCCAAGGGCGCGGGGCGCGGGGCACACACTCGGGCCCCGGAGCGGCGTCTGGTCCGTGCCGTCCGCCCGCGCGGTTTGCCGACCGGACCCCACGCGGGCAGTCGGAGACGGTCCCTCGCGGGTGGTGACTGAGCTCAGAAGCTGTGGGAACCGGGACGGCGCAGAATTAGTTAAGGAGGGTAACAGGCCCGAGTGTGAGGCCCTTGGCTTGATTGGAGCATTCGTTCTGAAGTTTCGTCCTTAAACTCAGCGTAAATTCACCCCTGCTTCCCGTTCCTGGAGAGAAAGGTGCTAAGATTCCCAGAGGCCCTCTAACTACAGATCTGGGCTGAGTGGAAGCTGTTCTCAAGCTCGGGGCAGTCACACGCACACACGTAGCGTGGACATTTCACACGCACACGCGGAGTGTGGACATTTCACACATACACACGCACACGCCGTGTAGCATGGACGTGCGGCTGTGCAGGGCCTGACAAACACCTCTCGTGGTTTCTCAGTTAGAAAATAAGAACGAAGGGGGTGGCTCAGTTAAGCGTCGGACTCTCGGTTTTGGCTCAGGTCACAATCTCACGGCTCATGGGTTCAGGCTCTGTGCTGACAGCACGGGGCCTGCTTGGGACTCTCTCTCTCTCCCTCTCTCTCTCCCTCCCTCTCTGCCCCTCCCCTGCTCGCTATCTTTCTCTCTCTCTCTCTCTCTCAAAAAATACACAAACAATTTTTTTAAAAAGACAAGAATGAGAGGATGTGGCCATCTTGGTCACGGAGCCCGGGTCTCGGCCGAAACAGGCAGTGGTGGGGGACGCAGGGCCAGCAGCGGTGAGGGGGGCGGAGGCCTCGGCAGGCAGCCGCGGGGCGAGCGGCCGAGCAGGGATGCAGGCGGGGAGCTGCCCCCGCGGCAGAGAAGGCTTTCTGGAGCCAGAGCCGCAGACAGCCCCTCGGAGGCAGGAGACCCTGCGGTCCTGCCCCACGGCCGTCCTTCCGTCTGCCCCCCGGGGACGCCGGCCACCAGACTGGGAGGCAGCACCCGTCAGCTCCCCGGGGGGCCATCCGGAGCCACAGACCCGTGTGGCCCTTCCGCAGTGAAACCGAATCGCCGTGGCTCAAACCCGGACGAAGCGCAGGCCTCTGACTCCCTGAGCCCTTCCCGTTCCTCCCCCCCGAGGGGAGCTGGGGTTTGGGAGCCGCACCGCGTGGTCGTCGGAAGGGGGCCGGACCCTCTCCGTCGGCATTTTACGTTCGCTCGCTTCGTCTCGGCGTGAGCGGTTTACCGTGTGGGCGAGGCCGGTGCTCAGGGGAAGGCTGTCCTGCAAGGTGTCCGCACGCGGGGTATCTGGGGGCCTGCGGGGGGGCTCCCACCGCGTCCTCGTGTGTGTTTCTGAGCTCCGGGACAGGACACGGGGGACCCCCCCACCTTTGCTTCGTGGAAACAATGAATGTCTTCTAGTAGTTTTGAGGAAGGTAGAAAAGACGCCCATATGGATTCTGTTCGTCCCCCCCCCCCCCCCCCCCCCCCCCCCCCGTTTTTGGGGCGAAGAGTGGGGGTGGGGAAGAAAACGTGTCCTTCCCCGCTTCCCCACCTCGTCCCCTGCTCGCAATGTGTCGTCGTTGGTGTAAACGCCTCCAGGAGCAGCCGGGACGCCCCCGGCTTGGGTCTGCTGGCCGTGCCCCGTGCCGACCCCCCAACAAGCCCTCCAGCCTTAGGGACACGCCATCCCGTGTCCTTCTGCCGATGGCCGGGGCACCCCTGGACGCCCCTGGCACGAGCCCCCTGCCCCGTGTCCCCACCTCAGCTCTGGGACTCACGGGCGAGCGTGCGTGACTCCTGGTTTCCCCTCTCCCCGGTTTCTCGAGTTCATGGCCTCAGTCGCTTCTTGAACTTGGCTGCGCCTGAGCCCACGTGAGGAACCCCTGCTTGCTTCCCCCCCGAGTTCCCTGGCCGGGGCTTCTGCTGACGGGTCGGGGACGAGGGAGGGCCACCCCACCCACCGGTCAGCTCAGGAAGCAACCGGAAGCAGGCCACGGCCACCGTCCTTGCCTCCCGCTCCGGGCCTCGGTCCTTTCCTGGCGAGGCGGACGGAGGGCGACGGGGCTCTGCCTCCCTCCCGGCTTCGTGTTCCGACGTGTTCCGAGCCGGGCACAGCAGATCTGTGGCGGAAACTTGTGCCTTCCACTCCCCACCCAGCACCTGCTTCCCCCGTCCCGTGCTGTCGCCTGGACCACCCACGCCACCCTCACCGCCCTCCCCCTGCCACCCCGGTAAGGAGAAAGAAATGCGACACGGGATGAGGGGGGTTTTTTCTGCTTGGGGTGCTGACAGCTGATTAGCACACAGGTTACAGGACCAGGCAGATGGAGAATCGGGTCTCAGTTCTGTCCCTGAAGGGAAAGTGGCTTTGGGCAACTCTCTGCCTCAGTGTCCTTGGGTGAGAGGGAATGATGTTGTCATAAGAATTAAGTGAGATACTGTCTGTAAGATATCGGACACCCAAAAAATAGTCCTTGTTCCTTCCTCCTTTCGATGGGGACTTTTCTCTCCGTGGCGCACCTCAAGGGGCTTGGAGGGAGTTCTCCCTGGGGCACTGGTCAGAATTAGAATGTCCCCGATCCACCATTCACTTCCTTCAGAGAAGGGCCACGCAAGGTGTGATCAGACGGTGGGGCAGGCAGGGGCTTACGATTTTGGAAGAGCCTCGGGTGGGAGGCAGGAGGCCTGGATCCAGGCGGGACTCCAGCCCGAGGTTCATGAGCCCCTGGGAGGCGCCCCACGTCCACCCCTTCCCTGGGCATCCTTGCCAAGTTGAGGCCCGGAACTTGCTCTGAGATGCCTCCCAGCTCCTCGCCTCTTCCTCCCGTCCTTGTCTTTTCAGGCGATTTATAACACGCTTTCAGAGCTCACTGGGAGGAGAGGAAGCAGTCCCACTGGATGACTTTGGTGTTTACAAAATGCTCATTGAGGGACCGAATAGGATTCAAGATCACGCCCTTGCCAGTGGCCAGAGTTTAGGGACAGACGCTTGAGGGAACAGAGCTCGCCTGGAACAGGGCGGATCCTCCCCTTTGGGGTGAATGGACACAATTAGAAAACTGGGGTTCCAGCCCTGACCTTGAACACGTGGGTCTTGTGACCTTGGGCAAATCACTTGACTTCCCAGAGCCTCACTTTCCCTACCTCTAAAAACACAACAAAGCGAAGAACCGAAAACAATGATCATAGAAATCGTGCGAGGTTTCAGCAAGATTAAAAGGACACAAAGGGTCCCCGTTCCGGATGCTTCCAGAGCGTGGTTGCCTAAAAATGGGAATAGGCAGCTTCGTCAACGACTTGGGAGGGAGTTGGGGTATTTAGCCTCGATTTGCGCATCTCAGTCAGGCCAGTTTTGTCACACACACACACACACACACACACACCAGTGCAATATTGGCAATGAGCCTGGAGACATTTAAAAAAAATTTTTGTTAATGTTTATTTAATTTTGAGAGAGAGAGACAGAGCAGGAGCCGGGGAGGGGCAGAGAGAGAGGGAGACACAGAATCCGAAGCAGGCTCCAGGCTCCGCGCTGTCAGCACAGAGCCCGACGCGGGGCTCGAACCCACAGACTGAGAGATTGTGACCCGAGCCGAAGTCAGAGGCTCAACCGACTGGGCCGCCCAGGCGCCCCTGTTGTCACTCTGAGGAGGTGCTGTCGGCATCGGGGGCAGAAGCCAGGGTTGCCGCTAGACATCTGACCAAGGACGGGCCGGCCCCTCGAACGGTGCCCAGTACTGCGGGGGGAGCTGTGTCTGGACGGTGTGTCGATGTTCCGGGCCGGGCGGGCCTGGCCTGGCGGTAGGTACTTAACAGGTGTGAGTGGAACGGTCCTAGGGAGGCAGGGGCGTCCTCGTTGGGTGACGCCACTGGCCGGTCAGGCCCCAGGGTGGGGGTGAGGACGGCAGGTCTCGGTTAAGATGAACGAGGTGCTTCTCGCCGTCCTGGGGGTCCCACCGTGGACAGGCTGCCTCGTGAGGTGGTGAGCGTCCCGTCTCTGGGGCATTCGAGGGGGAGCACAGAGCCCGTCTGCCAGAGATGCTTGTGAGCGACTGGCGCTGGGCAGGGAGCTGGGGCTCAGGCCGACCTGAGGATCTCTTGGTTCCGAGACTGCTATGTTAGCGGGGTTCAGGCCCAGAAGGGGCCTCCGAGATGACAGAGCTGGAATGGCTCGTCTGTGGCGGGCAAGGGGACGGGGGGCCGGGGGCCCGTGTGACAGATGCCCTGGGACCATCCCGGCTCTCTCGGGGCCTGAGAACGGCCTTCCCGCTCCTCCTCCCCCCGCGCCCCTCGCCCCCCGCTGACTCCGGGATTCCAAGATGGGTTGTGACGAGCTGGGGTTTGCACACTTTTCTGGTTCTTGGCCCTCGAGTCTGCAGATGTCGTGGGCTGTGCCTCCTGAGCTGTGAGGCTGGCTCGGGCCCCCGGGTGAGGGCACGGCCTGGCCTGGCTCTCGTGCTGCCTCCCGGGGACGCTCCCCCTACCTCGCCTGCCGTCCTTGTGGGCCGGGGGCCTGCCGCGTTCTCACCAGGGTGGGCTCACGTGACCTGTCCCTGCCTCCTCCTGGACGCACTTCTGACACCCTGTCCCCTCCCGCCCCGCGGAGCCTCGGCCGCAGCACCTCCAGCGGGAAGGGGCGTCGAGGTCGCCGTTCGTCCCTCCCCCTCCCCACGCCTCCCCTGCTCCTAGCGGGACCGGCCGTATGGCTGACGGCGTCTCACGTGTGCCTGATGAGCAGCTGGACGCTGGGCGACGTGTCCCCTCCTGTCTTGGCCCCTGCAGGTCAAGGACGTGGTGGGCTATAACTCCCTGGGCCACTGCTTCTTCACGGAGGACGGGCCGGAGGAACGCAACACCTTTGACCACTGTCTGGGCCTCCTGGTCAAGTCTGGGACCCTCCTCCCCTCCGACCGGGACAGCAAGATGTGCAGGATGATCACGGAAGACTCGTACCCGGGCTACGTCCCCAAGCCCCGGCAGGACTGCAAGTGAGTGGCTTCGTCTCCAGGCCACACGCACCCCCCTCCCGCCCCGCCCCAGGCAGCCTCTGACCTCTGCACCCTGGGGCTTCTGGGAAGCTTGCACCTGCCAGCCCTTCACCACCTGGTGCCTTCAGCCTCGCGGCCAGAGGGCGCAGGGGGTGCAGAGGGCGCGGGGGTCAGCAGGTGCAGAGGGCAGGGTGTGCTGTACCTCCCCAGCTCGCCTCACGTCCATCAGAGAACCTCTGTTCTCGTCCTCCGGCTCCTGCCGACGTCACACGGCGCTCCCGTGAGAGGGCGTGTGGCCGTGGGCACCGGCAGACGGGGGTTCCCGTGTGATCCGCCCGCCGGTGCGGGGTCTCCCCCTTAGTGACGGCCCCTCTCCCGGGCACTCGTGACCTCTGATCTGCCTCCGCCCCACGGGGCCATGGCCACCTGGAAATTCTGAGCACATGAGGCGCTTAGATGTACTGCACTCAAACGAGAAAACCGAGTCTCATCGCAAATTAAGGATTCCTCAAGTGTCTGACGAGGGGCGCAGGAGCTGGCCGCCCGTCACGTGACCCCATGCGATCTCTGTCCCCCCCCCCCCACACCCACAGCGCAGTGTCCACCTTCTGGATGGCCAACCCCAACAACAACCTCATCAACTGTGCAGCCGCGGGCTCCGAGGTGAGCGCAAGGGGTCCGGGCCGGGCAGAAGGGAAGGAGGGGGGCTGGGAGGTGGCGGCGGCCGGGGATGAGCCCGGAGTGTGGGTTCGGGGCCCCAGCTCAGGCTCCGCTGGGGCGGAGACGTAAAAACCAGACTGGCAGTGGACGGACTTGCTTTTGACGGATGGCTCCGTCGCTGCGTCATATTGATGATCAAAGCGCTTTATCGAAATGACTCCTCGTGGGATCCAGTGGGTGCAGCCTGGGCGGTGCCTGGCACACCAGCGCTCCAAGCCGAAGTAGTTTAATTCTCGCGTCAGCCCTCCGAGGCCGGCGCCACCACCCTCCATGTGGCGGGTGGGGAAGCCGAGGCAGGGAGCGCTGCCGTGCCCAGGGGCGTGCGTGGGACCCAAACACGGCACTCCGTCTACACGGCCATTCCTCCCTGCGGCTCGCCGTCCGGGGGACCCCGAGCGGGCCAGGTGCCGTCTCTGGGCCTCGGCTTCCCCAGCTGCCAGATGAGAGGGGCCAAGCACATCACGGGACGTTCCCCACGGGGACTCTGCAATCCAGCCGCTTGGAGCCCACGGCCGATCGAGCGGGACCCTGTGAAGGGTTGGCACAGTCCGGGTGGGCCCCACAAAACGCATCTGCCAGAGTTTGGACCGTCTCCCTGAGATGTGTCTGGGGGAGGGCGGCGGGGGGCCCATGGGGGGCTGGCACCAGCCCGCGGCCCCGACCAGGGGTGTGCTGGGCTGATTTCGGCGGCCCTCCCCGCCCCGTGCCCTCCTCCCACAGGAAACCGGATTCTGGTTCATTTTTCACCACGTTCCGACGGGCCCGTCGGTGGGAACGTACTCGCCAGGTTACTCCGAGCACATCCCGCTGGGAAGGTTCCACAATAACCGAGCACACTCCAACTACCGCGTAAGTCCTTCCAGACCGCGCGCCCCCCCGCCTCCCGCCGGTCCCCCTCCCCTGGCCCGCACATCGCCAGGGCCAGACGGCCACCGGGCTCCGGCCGGGCACCAGCCGGGCACCAGCCGCCTTCCTGGCGCGGGTCTGGAAGGAAACAAAGCGGCCTCCTTAGTGAGAATGTCCCGTGGCCGCTCCTGCCACACGACGGACGCGGCCCCCGGTCAGAGCCGGGAGGAGAAGCGGGATGCGCCTTCGCGCAGGCTGACGGCAGGGGGGACACCCGAGCGCGGGCCCGCCGCCCCCCTGGTGGCCGGGCAGGGTGCCGGCTGTGGCAGGCTGGCCCGGCCTGGGCGCCGGACGCAGTCAGGACGCGCTCCTGAAGGAACGGAGACGTGGCACGGGCCCCTCTCCTCCGTCCCCTTGGCTTTTGCTCTGGTCCTTCCGCACAGAGCCAGGGGGTGCGGGGGGCGGGGGGAAACCAGACGCTGCCGAGTTAGGCGCAAGGAAGGGGCCGGGGCCCCGAGGGTGTGGAGGACGCCCACCCAGGACGGCACGGAGACTAGAGCCGTGGGACGCGCAGCTGGGGAGCCAGGCTGGGACCGGGGAGCCGCCCTGGGGACACAGGTGGTGCTGGGGGCGCTGGCACGGTGCGTGGACAGAGCCCCGTGTCCGGATCTTCTGTCCAGTCCCTCATAGTGCAGATGAGGAAACTGAGGCCCCTGGGGGGGCAGGGAACGGACACGGTAGGGTTTAAAAAAGAAGGTCAACCGGGGAGAAGACTGTGAGAAGAGAAACTTCTCACACTCGGCTTGTGCTTACACGGGCGGTGGGGCCAGAGAGGGGCCCGCAGGGGTGCGGGGGGGGCACGGGCAGAGGGCACACCCCAGGGAGCTGAGAAGGAAGAGTTGCCGGTCATCGGTGTCCCCCTGACAGAGCGGGCGTTTCTGAGGCTGTGGTGGGCCACGCAGGAGCGGCCAGGGGTGCCGTGTGGGCAGCCGAGAGGACACAGCACGTGGGGGCCGTTTGTCAGGACCTCGTCCTCCAGAAGCCGTCCCCTGAGCTGGGCGGTGGGCCTGGAGAGGTCAGAGCAGGGAGGTCTGTGAGGGACAGTGGTTTCCTACAAGGAAGTAGCAAGGACTCAGGGCACAGGAGGAAGGGCGGGCCTTGGGGAAGGTGGCAGGGTGAGGTACCCGCCCCCAGTGAGCCCTGACTTTGTGCTCAGCGGGCGAGGGTCCCCGGGCACAGTGCCCTGTCCAGTGAGCCCTGACTTTGTGCCCAGTGGGCGAGGGTCCCCGGGCACAGTGCCCCTCCAGTGAACCCTGACTTTGAGCCCAGGGGGCGAGGGTCCCCGGGCACAGTGCCCCTCCAGTGAACCCTGACTTTGAGCCCAGGGGGCGAGGGTCCCCGGGCACAGTGCCCCCTCCAGTGAGCGCTGACCCCGCACCCAGCGGGCGAGGGTCCCCAGTCTTGGTGCCCCCTGAGTGAGGCCTGACCCCGTAACTAGTGGGCGAGGGCCCCCGGTCTCGGCGCCCCTCCAGCGAGCCCTGACCCTGTGCCCAGTGAGCGAGGGTCCTGGTACGGGGCATCCCCTGGGGCCAGCACCGAGCCTCCCGCCATATTCTCTGAAATCAGTGTTCGTAGCCCGGCTTGTGGAGGCCACAGCTGAGGCTTGCAGGGTGAAGGTCACGGCCCATGAGCGAGCAGCGGGGATCCAGCCCCTCATGTTCTACTCACGCCACCACGGCCTCACTGTCAGTCCCTTGAAGAATGTTCTAGCCAGAGTGGCCTCAGCTACTCCAGAAGGGAACCTGGGAACCTGCCTTTGGGCCTTCCTGGGAGGCCGAGAGTCCAGTGGGAGGAACCGAGACCCCTGCCCCAGGGGAGGGGTCTCAAGTGCAGAGTTTCCTTTAAATCACCAGACACATTTCCCGTAGCCCCTGACGTTGGGCCTGGGCTTGTAACCGCCCAAAGCAAGGTGACTTCTGGTCACGGACTTAGCTCCGTGGCCCTGGACAAGACACTTAGCCCCCAGACCTCCTGGTTCCTTCGTGAACACCTCAGATTCGCCCTGAGCAGAGCAGAAGCCTGGGCTCCTGCCCTCCCTCGATGCAGACCCCTTGCCTCCACTAATGCGTCCTGAGAGCAGAGCCGGCGTTACTGGAACGTTTAAGAGTGTGCGTGGCGTGACGAGGTGCCTGCCACCTGCCGTGGCCGTGGATGCGTCCCTGACCGTCTCCTCCCCCGCAGGCTGGCATGATCATTGACAACGGGGTCAAAACTACGGAGGCCTCTGCCAAGGACAAGCGGCCCTTCCTGTCCATCATCTCTGCCAGGTAGACGACCCGTGGGGACGCACACTCTCCCTGCTGATCTCTTGACCCAGCCCCGTCCTCTCCACTCATTCGTTCGTTCGTCCGTTCGTTCGCTCACTCACTCATCAGCGTCTGGTGAGCACTTTCTACGTCCTGGACCGCGAGCTAGCTGCTGGGGGTCCGATGCTGAAAGCCCGAGCGGGGCAAAGACTGAATTAGGGTTTATGCTACAGCAGCCGAAGGGAAACAGAAATTTCTAGAGGTTCCCGGATCCCTCAGCAGAGCCAGTACCCGCACGGTCAGTAGGACTGGGTTGGGCCGAGGTCTAAAGGGACGTGCGGGTTGTGCCCACAGAGCAATCCAGAACAATCCAGAGCTCAGCAGAAGGCCAGCGGCTGCTTTCCACGGGTGCCATCGACACCTCAAGGGTATTAGAAACACCAGCGCCCTTTAGAGACCGAGGCGTCGGTCTGCGTCGGAAGTGGGTGGCGCTAGGGTCCGTGATAACGCCGACGGGTGGCTTTTGCTGGTCCGGACAAACTGAGCAGCTGGGCTCCGTGCCCCGTTTTGTAGCCAACGAGCTGGCTTCCAGAAGAGGCTTTAGGTCAAGGGCCCCCCAGGTTACCAGGCGGCTGGGCAGCTCACTCTCCTTCCAGGGGCCATACCGCACGCCGGGGTGGGGCCCGGCCAGTTTGCTCTGTGCCTTGACCCCCCCCCCCCGGGCGGGGTGGGGTGGGGGCTCCTCGATGCCCACGGACAAGAGCAGTGGCCTGTCTGTAGCCCGCGTGGGGCTGGGGCCCTGGAGGAAGGACTCCTTGCTTCTGTGTGTGCGGAGAGAAGCTCTCGGCCCAGAAGGGGGTCGGCTGAGGCGTCCCCCTGACACGGCCACCTGTGCCCTCCCCGTGGCGTGCTCCAGGTACAGCCCTCACCAGGATGCCGACCCGCTGAAGCCCCGGGAGCCGGCCATCATCAAACACTTCACGGCCTACAAGAACCAGGACCACGGGGCCTGGCTGCGCGGCGGGGACGTGTGGCTGGACAGCTGCCGGTGAGGACCGGGCATGGGGTCCTGACATGAGGACGGGGTGGGGGAGGGGAGAGCGGGGCAGGGAGGAAACAGGCACACAGACATCGGCTTTCTGGTCAGTCCCCGGCCAGGCAGAGGCAGCGACCCCACCCCCACCCCCGAGCCCCCTGAAAACAGCACATGCCGGGTGCTGGGGGTCGTACCTGCCACGGGGTGAGGCTCTCTCGGGCCACGGAGCCAGTCGTCGGAAGGAGGGAAGGAAGAGAAGGCCAGCATGTCCTGGGCACCTGCTGCGTGCAGAATCCTCGTTTGCCTTCCTTCCTCACCGTGCTTCTCAAAGATGCAAATTATCTCCATTTTTAGAGATGGTCAACTGAGGCTGAGCTCAGTGACTTTCCCGGGAGGTCACACAACTAGGAAGCGGTTGGACCGGGGCTTGAAATTTCAACTCCTGGGACGCCAGAGCAGGGCCACAGCACAATTGTGACACTGGGTCCCGCCCTTCCCGGGCCCCCGGGGCCCCGGGGCCGGCGCCTGCCTGCCTTCCGGGGAGACGTGGCGCCAGCTGTCCCTCTGTCCTTCCCGCTGTGGCTGAAATGGGAGTGGGCGTGGCTAAGGGGAGTGCAACCCGCCCGCACGTACCCCGCCGTCACCCGGGGCCGGCCCCGAGAGTGGCGAGGTCCTTCACGTCCCCCTGATCCAACCTCCCACGAGCCCTGGAGTCAGCAGCGTGGGGGCAATGTTGGAGGCCACTGTCCGCGAGCAGCCGTCGAGCGGGAGGCGAGCTTCCCGCGCAGGGTGGGAGAGCCCGCAGCCCCTTCCCCACACAGTATCCACATGTGACGCCAGGGACAGGGAAGCGTCCCGCCCTCCGCCACGTCCCTGGCCGTGGCGCGAGGGCAGGCTCTGACCGTCCGCTCTCGTCCCCAGGTTCGCTGATAATGGCATCGGCCTGACCCTGGCCAGGTAAGAGCAGCTGTCCTCGTGCCGAGCCCTGTGTGGGAAGCCGGCTGCGGACGGCTCATTCCAGACGCCTCCTCCCCACAGCGGCGGGACCTTCCCGTATGATGATGGCTCCAAGCAGGAGATCAAGAACAGCCTGTTCGTCGGCGAGAGTGGCAACGTGGGGACGGAGATGATGGACAACAGGATCTGGGGCCCCGGTGGCCTGGACCACAGCGGGAGGACCCTCCCTATAGGCCAGTAGGTTTGCAGCCACGGAGGCTTCCTCGTCCTGCGTGCCTTAAGCCGAGTGGCAGCCACAGACGGAATGATGCTCGTGGGAGAGCTCCGCCTGTCGACTGTGAACCCCCCTGTCAGTTACCAGTCAGAGAAGTCACTGAAACAAAGGAGGCTGGCCGGCGGTGGGGTGAGGTCTAGAGCGGGAGAGAGAAATCAAGCGTTCAGTGTCGAATGGCAGGCGGCAGAGGGACCTGATGGTCCAGATGCACGGGGTGGTTCCGGGGCTACGGTGTCTGGGGTCAGCGGCCGCGGGTTCCTCTGATAGCACCTTACTCGGAGCATTGCACCCACTTCTGGGGACGGGGGAGAGATGGGCCAAAGCACGCTTGGAGGACGGTACCCAGGAAGGTGACAGGGCCCAGCGCTGTGTCACACGCACACTGGGAACTCCGGTCAGGAGTTCAGGGGTCAGACGAGGGGGACCAGCACGGGAGGCGACGTCACACATGGTCGGGGCTTCCAGACGCTTACAAGACGGAGCCCATTCCCCATGGGCCCCACGGTTAGAAGGAGTTTAGTGCGGGAAGAACTGTCTGACGGCCAGGCCTGTTCATCAGCAGAAACGTAGGGCTGTCCTGAGGGGTCCCGGGCTCTCTGTTGCAGAACGTGTTTCAGGCAAAGCAGGGGGAGGCTGGCCAGGTGGCTGGAGGAGGGGGGACCGGGAGAGCTGGCCAGCTCACGGAGCAGAGGGGCTCGGTCAGTTCCCGGGGGAGCCTCAGCTGGGTCGGTGTGAGGACGTCCGTCCCCCATCTGATGGCGATTCTGCTCAGACGTGAACCCAAACCCGATGGCCAGGCTCTGAGCCGGGCAGACGTGTGGGGGTCTGCTCCCCGAGGGCCGAGAGCCCTCCTGCCCCCAGAGCTTCCCCCCCCCCCGGCCTTTCTCCGGAGAAATATAATCCCTGCCTCTGTGGGCAGGACACGGGCCCGGAGCTCCCACCCCAGTGGACGTGCGCCTTTGCAAAGATCCTGCAGACAGAACCACGGCCTCCTTTGGCGCAAGTGGTCCGGAAGCCCTGGTGTCCGTCTGGTCGCAGCGATAGACCAGCCCCTTTGGGTGGTGTTTATGAGTAACTCTGGATCTGCATACTTGGGCGTTTTTTTGCTGAGAGTTACCAGCCCTCTGGGGCCGGAATGTTCTGAGGACTTTCAGGGCTGAGTTTGTTTATGGAGGCCCGACAGTTCTGCCGAACCGGGCAAGTCCCTCGCGTGGCGTTTGTGAGCAGGGACCGTGTCCTCCTGGTCACGAGGGATTCGTCCGCGATGGTCCTTGGCTGGGCTTAGATGAAAAGCAAGCATACGCTTTGCATACACAGCCGGTAAGAGTGGCTGGTTCCCAAGATGCCTTAACTTAAACAGTGCCCGGAGGCACCCCCTGAGAACCAGGATCCAAGGCGCCAGCGCGAATCGACTGCTTTCAAAGATGCGGAAATGCAGGAAGTCCCTGGTGTCGACTGAAGCCACGCACCAAGGCTGGTGTGATCTGGGCTTTCCCGGGGGACCTGCGTGTGGGGAGGGGAGCCCCGGGTAGAGGACGGGGGGCTGTGGTGTAGCCTCCCAGGGACAGACCCTTCTCTAGGCTTCTTTTCCTCTTTCTGCCCTCCCTCCTTCATGCCAGCTGTGGGAGGAGGGGACCTGGCCCAGAAGCACAAATACCAGCAGAACCATGCACATTGGGCTTCCAGAGCAAACAAGCCTAGGTTCAGGGTCACCGAGAAGCCCAGCTGGCCCTTGCCAGGCCCCGCGCAGGAGTCCGAGGGCAGAGGAGAGGAGTCTCTGAGTCCCCGCCCTCTGCTGAGCCAAGTTGCCCGCTCTCCGGTCCTTTCTACCTCCGCCTCCCATCCTCTCCCTGACTCCTGGAGATCGGAGCCTTCTTGGGGTCCTTTGACAGCCCACAGTCTTGCCTTCCCAGTGGGGCCTGCCGCTCCTGTAGGGTTACGTGCCCTGAAAGGTCACGTGCGTTGTCTCGCTACAGCATCATCACCTTCTGTTCTGTCCCCTTTGCCTGTTTTCCAGACCCAACAGATTCACAACTGAAAGGCTTACTCAGAGGAAACCCATTTGGGTCTTAATCTGATTAAATGGTTATGGCAACTGAGACTAAATAATGACTAATGGCTCTAGTCTCCCAAGGGCCACAATACTGGCATTCTACAGAGTATTTATGGTATTTACCCAATGACTCTCAACAGGATGGAAAAACTGGGGCAAGTGTTTGAATAGAGGATGACTCCCCAGCCCCCAAGCCAGCAACTAAACACATATCCATCCATCCATTCCTCCATCTATCCTTCCATCCATCCATCCACCCACCCTTCCTTCCTTCCTACCATCCACCCACCCATCCATCCACCCATCCATTCTTCCTTCTTTCCTTCCTTCCTTTTCTTTCCTTCCATCCATCCATCCTTCCTTCTCTTTCCTTTCATCCATCCACCCACCCTTCCTACAATCTACCCACCCACCCACCCATCCATTCTTCCTTCTTTCCTTCCTTCCTTTCATCCATCCACCCACCCATCCATCCATCCATCCTTCCTTCCTTCCTTCCATCCATCCAGCCTTCCTTCCTTCCTTCCTTCCATCCATCCATCCAGCCATCCATCCAAGTCATCTAGCAATCATTTATTGACATTTACTGTGTCTATAAATACTTTCTCATGAACTGATGGATGAATCAATAATGCCCTGCAGCGAGGAGTGGCAGGAGGTGGGGAGCAGGACGGTTTACCCAGAAAGTCTCTGTTTCCATCACCTTGAAGGGTGCAAACAACTCGGTGGCATAACGTGGCGAACAGGCTGACCTCTCGCTTCCTTAACTCTGTAGGAATTTTCCGATCCGAGGAATTCAGTTCTATGACGGCCCCATCAACATCCAGAACTGCACCTTCCGCAAGTTTGTGGCCCTGGAGGGCCGGCACACCAGTGCCCTGGCCTTCCGGCTGAACAACGCCTGGCAGAGCTGCCCCCATAACAATGTGACCAGCATTGCCTTTGAGGATGTCCCGGTGAGTGAGGTGCTGGGGCAGGCTCTGGGCAAATCCAGACTTTGGGCAGTGATTCACAAGTCCCCCGGGGCTGGAGTTTGAGCCGTTGCCACCACCGCAGGGAGCGAACGACTTCCTCCAAGCAGGCTGGGCCGCGCCCCAGCCCGGCTGCATCCAAGCTGGAAAAGTACAAGTGTAGGTTGCCCTACAGGTCAGGTCTGGCTGCGTCCCACTTGCCCTCCCCCTGCCCCGAACCCCCCCGAGCCTCAGCACAGCCTCCCTCCAGACGCGAGGTCCTGAGGCTGTTCCTCCACAGGCCTCGGTCTGGACTATGGAGTCTTGCGACAGGCTCACCTGGGTTGGTCAGTTAATCTCCAATCCCAGGGTTTCCAAGGCGCTCATGTCTCTCTGAGAGGGCACCACAAATGGGGTCTTCCTGGGCACAGACAGGTGCCAATGAAGAGCTGGGGGTGAGGAGGGCGGGACGGAGGGTGGCACTTTGAGGCTGGGAGGGACCTGGGGTGCTCTGCCTGGGCTCTGGATCCCCCAGAACTTTCTTCCTTCTCCTCCCCTCTGGTCGTGCCCTTTGCCCGTCTGCCTCGCGCCGGCAGGCTGAAGGGAAAGGCGTGAGAACTTGTGACTTCGTTTCTTTACTCAGGCCACCGAGGCCTGGGAGAGGTCAGTCGCAGAGCCCGCCACGGGCTCGTGTCGACAGACTGTCCTCCTCAAACAGGTGCACACACCCCCCTCTTAGACACACAGCACACGGTCCTCTCTCACACGTTGCCCCGCGTGTGTGTGCTTTCTCATGCACACACCTCTCTCCCCCTCTCACACTTGTGCACGCGCGCACACACACACACCCCTGTGCCCCCTCCTCTCTGCAGGCTCTGAGCCCGCACCTCAGAGCACTCTCCAGGGTCACCCACAGCAGCCGGGCCTTGTGTGAGCAGAGGCCAAACGAATGCGTCGGGTCTGGAGTGGAGGCCGGTGAGCGGGCTGCAGTCTCCCTTCACCTCTGGCCCAGCCTCACTTCCCGGGGCTCTGTTTAGATTACTTCCAGAGTGTTCTTCGGAGAGCCGGGGCCCTGGTTCAACCAGCTGGACATGGATGGGGATAAGACGTCCGTGTTCCATGATGTCGACGGCTCTGTGTCCGAGTACCCGGGGTCCTACCTCACCAAGGACGACAACTGGCTGGTCCGGCACCCGGACTGCATCAACGTCCCCGACTGGAGAGGGGCCATCTGCAGCGGGCGCTACGCACAGGTGGGGAAGCGAGGGCACCCCTGGTGTCACCAGCCCCTCAGCAGGAGCGAGCGCCTGCTGTATGCCCTTTCAAAAAATCAAAGTGAAAACCGTGTTGTAGGTAGAAAGCAGGATGCCTAGGAGGAGGGCACTGGGAGGTCACTCGGATTCAAGTCAGGCCCCAGTGCCTGGAGTCAGTGCAAAGACACGGACACATGTGGAACCAGACCCGTGGGTGACTGCTGGACCCTCAGTGTCCTCATCTGTGAAATCAGGATAATAGTCGAACCTCCTTCTGAGATGGCGGGCCTAAGGTTCATATGACAGATGCAAAGCGCGTCGCCGGCCCCATCCGCCGGAAATGTAACGCAAACCAGCCCCGTGGTCCTAAGTTTTCCAGAGGCCCCGTGAGAAAGAAAAAAGAAACAGGAAATTAATCGTAATAATGTATTTTAACTTAGCGTACTCAAAATCCTATCGTCTCAACACGCGACGGATTTATAAAAATCGTTAGTGAGGTACTTTTCCTGGATGTAATTTTTCCTCCTCTAAGTCGTCGAAATCCACGACACGGTTTCCGCTTCGAGCCCGCTCAGTTTGGATGCAGATTTCCGACGAAGTGAAAGCTAGTCCTACCTCCCCAAAAGGATAAAGGCACGCGCGGTGGGAAAATATTTTACACTGCTTTGGGTTGGAGGTTTAAATTAATCAAAATTTAAAACCCAGGTGGGTCCTCAGCCACACCGGCCACGTTTCCGGGGCTCGGGGGCCCCGTGTGGCCAACGGCCGTCGTGGGGAACAGCACCTGGGGCACGACGGAGCCGAAAATACCAACTAGCTATTATGATGCTGGCATTAGCTGTTATTGGTTGATGGTGAATAAACGAGCAAGAGGGAAGACAGCCAGGAAAACGCAGCATTAAAGTAGGGAGGGGAGTCCCGGGGCCGGCAGGGGACGTGTACGAAGAAGCTGTCCTCGCGATTACCATACAGGCGGACACTGTGGACGTCAGGACTGGAGGGTGGGGGAGAAAGGAGCCGGAAGGTGGCCTGGGGTCCGGGAGAGGCGGGAGAGTGAGCTGGTGCCGGAGAGGGGAAGGGGCCACAGGGCCAGGCGGGCACAGGGAGGCGAGGGTGCTGGCGAAACCAGGCCTGGATCTTCCCCCACACCCTGTCTCTCCCACACGCGGCTCGTCTTCTGTGCAAAAGCTCTGCCAGCACCTGCCCGGTTCTCCTGAGCGGCTACTGCTTAATTACTACTCATAATCTACCCCCTTCCCTTTACAGCTTTCGCCGCGCTGTGACATACCCTTCAAGCTTTGGTTCTCGGGACGGCCCCGTGCCACGGGCAGCCAGAGCTCCTCTTTCTGTCCCGTAGGCAGTACTGGGGAGACCACCCCTCCCTCCCGCGTGCCCAGTTTTGCGCTGCTGTGCTGGCCACGGCCATGGTGGTGTCACCTGCGCAGGGGCCGTGCCACAGGGCAGGACGCCAAGATTTCCACCGAGGCGGGCCCAAAACAACGCGGCTCTTGGGTCCCTGGGACCCGAGAGCTCGTAGTCTTGCTTTCAGGGACTCCTCTGTAGCAGGACGGCACTCCTTCGTGCAGGGCGTAGTGACACGGGGCCTGGCCACGGGGGCCAGACCTCGGGAGGCAGAGAAGGAGCGTGCCCAAAGCTGCCTCCCAGACGCAGGCAGGACAGCGGCGGGGGCGAGGGGGCTGCGTGCACAGGATTAGCCAGTTCGCTCTCCCCCCTCCTGCACGTCCCCTCCCTTCCCCGCAGTCCGCCATCTGACTGTTAAGCAGACTCCTCCCGTGTTTCCACCGCTGTGTCCCGGACGGAGCCCTTTGTTGAGAAGGTGTCCGCGGGATCGCGCAGAACGGCAATGGCCGCACCCCCAGCCGTCCATTCACGCGTCCTTAAAAGGGCTCCTCGAGAACGTTCCTTTGAAAGCGGGGCCCGTTGTCAGATGTTAACCAGACGCTCTGGAATAATCCCTTGTAACTGTCCTGTCGTGTTTCCTTTTTGGGTCCTAAAAGATGTACATTCAGGCCTACAAGACCAGCAACCTACGGATGAAGATCATCAAGAACGACTTCCCCAGCCGCCCCCTCCACCTGGAGGGGGCCCTGGCCCGGAGCACCCATTACCAGCAGTACCAGCCGGTGGTCACCCTGCAGAAGGGCTACACCGTGCACTGGGACCAGCCGGCGCCCGCCGAGCTGGCCATCTGGCTCATCAACTTCAACAAGTAAGTGGGCGCAGCCGCTCCGACGGAGCCCCAGGCAGCGGTGGTGACGCCTCGGGACCGCAGGCCGGCCCACGTCACCCCTGCAGAGGGGCCGAGGGCACCCAGTAGTCCAGAATCCGAGCCCCGGGCGGAGCCCCCCTGCCCCGGGTGTGGCCGGGCTCGGGCAGAAGCCTGGCTCCGTGGGCCTCCCTACGCCCCACGTGGGAGCGGGGGCCAGCATCCCCTCGAGGTGCAGCACGACGGCATTCCCGCCCGGATCTGGCCTCCGGCGTCGGTGTTCGGGTGCTGTCTGTGCCTGTCACTTGTCACGTGCTCCTGGGACACGGACGCCAAGCAGATGTGGAAAATGACACTGAAAGAGATGAAATGAGCCCTGAGACCGGGCTGGACCAGGAGGGGCTGAGCTGCAGGGCAGCACCCCGGCCTAGGCCCGGGCAGTGCCCAGGGAGCCCCTCGCCCCGCCAGCCACGCTCCCCGCCCCCAACACTTGGCAGCCGGGTGGTTACGCCCCCCCCCCCCCCAGCAGAAATGGAGGTGCCGTCTGGGGGAGAATTCTCTGGTCTCTCTCCAGGCGGGCCCCAGACTCTCTGAGGCCCGGACGCCCTTGCTTGTGGCCTGACCGCCCCCCCCTGCCTCTAGGGGCGACTGGATCCGAGTGGGGTTCTGCTACCCCCGCGGCACGTCCTTCTCCATTCTCTCCGACGTGCACAACCGCCTGCTGAAGCAGACATCCAAGACGGGCACCTTTGTGCGGACCCTCCAGATGGACAAGGTGGAACAGAGCTTTACGGGCAGGGGCCACTACTACTGGGACGAGGACTCAGGGTGAGGACCCCCGCCGCGGCAGGGCGGCTCGGCCCCGGGGCCGTGCCCCTGGCCCTCCCAGCAGGCCAACCCCCACCGGGTTACCTGCCGTTGACGGAGAACGCTTTCCCAGGGGCTTCGACTCAGGGGCCGAACTCAGGTTCCATCCGCCAGTGACATTTTCCAAGCTGCTAAGCTGGGGGTAAACGTTCCGTGAATAGACACGGGGATGGGAGGAAATAGGCCCATTTCAGGCAAAAAGCAAAAGCAGCTTTTCCTTAGAACGGAGGAGACACGGTCCGTTCCCTCGGGTCCTCCCAAGCCAGGGGGAGCAGATGACATCATCCCTCGTCCAGAAGGGGACAAAGAAGGGACAGAGGAAATAGCGGGGTCCTGCCCCGAGGCCACGGCACAACCTTGGCACGGCTCGTTTCGAACCCGGGTCCACCTCTCCCCAGAGCCGTCCCTCACCCTTTGCTGGACGGCACTAGGCACTGCTCAGTGGAGGGATAACAGGAATAGAGTGTCTGTGGAGAATAGGGAGCTGTCTGGTCCCCTCCCTGAAAAAGACAGTAAGTCCAACACCTCCGGAATGCCAACAATGTCCGAGCGGTGAGGCCGCTTAGAGCCATTCCCCTGGGGAGTGACCGTAAAGGATCCCTTGATGGCCGTGTTCCCTCTTGATTGCAATCAGCGATAAGGAGATACCTAGCAGGGGCACTCTCTCTCTCTTTCAGACACGGTTTTATCAATTTGATGAGAGAAAAATTAGAATTTGAAAATCAGAGGCATTAGTAAAATGCTAGGTTTGGGGGGAAATAAATAGCACCCGACTTTCACATAAATTCTAAACCACTCGTGGGGCAGACAAGGCCAAAGGTGAAGAGGGAACAGAGACTTAGGCTGGTGGCACCGCTGGAGGACAGCGCCAACCGACAAAGTCCCCAGGTGTGCCTGCCGGCCCCAGGAGGCACCGCGTAATCGCGGACGCCCCCCAGCCACCCCCCAAGACTCAGGGTACGGAGGGGCGGACCGGGGAGCCCAGCCTCTGCAGGCCGACCTCCACACCCACCGTCAGTGCCTGGTGGTGATTAGGCTGTGCTTTAATTTGGTGACACCCTTGGGGGCTGCGAGCTGGGTTACAGGACCCAAAGCACTGGGCTTTCCCAATACCTGGGGCCCCTCTGAAGTCTCGATCGGCCCCTCTGCGCGTCCAGGTGCTTCCCTGGCACGACCGGCTGTGCGGCGGTGGGTGGAGGTCGTGGCATCATGGCGCGAACCCAGCTCGCCGGGCCGTCTGGGCGCAGGCGGTTCCCAGAGAGGGGTCAGCACGGGAACAGCCTTTCGAATGCTGCAGGCGTGGGAGTCAGCCTGGAAGGTGGTTTCTGAGCAGGAGGAACGGTGACAGGTCCTAAGTTAGTGCCTCGGTTTCGTCGGCCGACCCCCTGCACCACCCCCGCGGCGTCCAGTCCTGTCCAACAAGGAGGGAAAAGATGGCAGTTTCGAGAAAAGTCTAGTGAGGAAGGCTCGCCTCCCCAGGCACAGTGACGGGGTGGCCCGACTCTGTGACCATCCTCCCATGTGGTCCCGGGTCAGTCGGCTGCTCGGAGTCCGAGAAAGCAGGGCAGTGACGGCACCTACTGGACGGGACCGTCTGAGGGTTAAGCGAGACGGCGTGTCCACTCACGGCCTGCGCGGAGCGTGGCATAGGGCACGTGCCCAGAAAGCGGTCCCCGTTGGCGTCGCGAGCTTTGACGCCCGGGTGCTCGTTTCTCTCTCGGACCGCACGTGACCCCGTGGCAGACACAGCCTGGTGGCCATCTCGTAAGGCCCGTGGGTCTCACCGCGGGGCTTGGGAGGTGACGTGAAGACAGAGGGGGAGGAGGGTGGTGAACGCCTGAGCGAGCCCGGCCGTGGCCCCCGCACGCAGGCTGTTGTTCCTGAAGCTGAGAGCCCAGAACGAGAGGGAGAGATTTGCCTTCTGCTCCGTGAGAGGCTGCGAGCGAATCAGGATCAAGGCCCTGATCCCCAAGAACGCGGGCGTCAGCGACTGCACGGCCACCGCCTACCCCAGGTTCGCCGAGAGAGCTGTGGTGGACGTGCCGATGCCCAGGAAGCTCCGTGGTGCCCAGCTGGTGAGCGGCCGTCACGTCAGGGCCCTTTCCGGACACCCGCTCGGCCCGCCCCCCCCCCGTCCCATCCTGGGGTGGCCGGGGGTGCGGGGAGGCGGCTGCCCCCGTCAGGCCGTGCCTGTGGCGCCCCCAACCCAGCCAGGGCAGCCGGTCTTACTTGCTTTCCAGAAGACAAAGGACCGCTTCCTGGAGGTGAAGATGGAGAGTTCCAGGCAGCGTTTCTTTCACCTCCTGAGCGACGTGGCTTACATTGAAGTGAGTGGTTCCGGCCCCTGCAGGGGCGCTGCTTGGCCGCAGGGGGAGGCGGTGTTATGTCCTGGGGCTGTTGTCACCGATGACCACAGGCCAGGGTTGCCCGCCACAAAAGAAACTTGTTCTCTGGCCATCCTGGAGGATGGAAGCCTCAAATCGGGGGCTCAGCAGGGCCAGGTCCCCCTAGAGGGTCTGAGACTGTCTGCCCGAGGCCTCCGCTGACGTCCCCCGGGTTGTGGACGTGGCCCCCCCCCCCCGCCCCCAGCATCTGCCTCTGTCCTCGCACGGCCTTCACCCTGGGTGTCTGGGCCCCACACCCCCTTCCTTCCTCCTATGAGGACACCCATCGCCGGATTTAGGACGGGCCCTAAACCCAGGATGACCTCATCTCAAGATCCTTAACTTAATTGCATCCGCGCAGACCTTCCAGCCAAGTAAGGTCCCTTTCCCAGCGCCCACCCACACAGAGGGCCCCGGAGAGCCGCTCGGAGAGGGTTTTGTGCTCTGAGCAGCTGCACGGACTGCCTGGCTTCAGGGTCCACGTGGGCGCCCCAAGCCCGCTCCCAGCGGTGCTGCTTTGGGCCTGTAGGTGGACGGGACGAGGTACCCCAGCTCCGAGGACGGCATCCAGATGGTGGCGATCGACGGCAGCCGCGGGCACGTGGTGAGCCACACGAGCTTCAGCAGCACCATGCTGCAGGGCGTCCCGTGGCAGCTGTTCAGTCACGTGGCGGCCATCCCCGACAAGTGAGTCTGCGTGCGTCCCCCCCACCCCATCGCGTCCGGTCTAGGGGCGCCGAGGGCGCGTTCGAGGTCTGCCTGCACCTCTGACGACCTAAAGGGTGCGGGGCAGAGAATGTAGGTCAGGCCGAGGCAGCCGGGCTGCCCACTTACAAGTGGGAAGCCTGGCCCTGGCCTCGTTCCCCGGCCAGGACACGCTTTCCCAGCATGACCTCACCCCGCCCACGCTTTCGATGCGATCCAAGTGCCGGTGGCTCTTAAGTTCTCTGGCCCACACCTCTCCCGGCACCGCCACGTCTGACAAGCTACAAGTCTCCCGTGGAACCCAACCTCGCCCTTGGCCGTCGCCTCCCAGCCCGGCCCCTCCTCCCGTTCACCGTGTTTCGGTTCATGGGCCTGAACCCTGCAGACGGCTGGACCACGGTCTGGGCGTCCTGCGTGACTCCCCCTGTCCCCTCCTCCTCTGTGACCGGGTCCCGGCCCCCCACCTGCCCGCTCACCCTCCGGCCGGGCTTGTCTATGGCTGCGAAGCAGGCCCTCCGGCTCAACCTCCTGACGGGCCAGGCCTCTGCCGCCCCAGCCTGACCCGGCCTCCCTGCCAGCTGCTGGCTTGAATTCCCCCCAGCACCTCCTGTGCCCTTTCCTAGAAATCCCTGGTAACTCCCGGCACCTTCCCAATCTAACGTGCACCTCTTTGGTGAGGTCTCTTCCAACGCAACCACAAAGTTCTGCCTCTACTAACACATGAGTCTCAGCAGCCCCGGGGACGCGGCCGTTCCCGGGCGAGGACCCGCACTTCCTCGCGCCGGGGCCACGTCTAACTCGGTTTTGTGTTTCTCGCTAAACGAGGGGTAGAACTCGCTCTCAGGGGCCACAACCAGGCACGGTGGGAAGTCCGGGTGGCTTGTCGGAACGGCCTCTGCCCTGCCACCATACTCCGTGCTGACGAGTGTAGGCGTTCACAGGCCGTGACAGTCCCATTCGGGGCAGACAGGGACACCTCCGAGCATGCAGGCTTCTGGCCCCATCAGGATGCTGTGACGCACGAGGAGCCCCGTCTGCGTCCCGCTCCTGGGAGCTAGCCCAGAGCCCAGTCTAGAGGGCACGACCTTTGTCTGGGTTCCCCCGAGCGGCGAGGCTTAGCTGTGCCAAAGGGACGTGAGCTTTTCCTCTGAACTGGAACGATGACGAAATGGCCTCCTGGGAATGGTGCCCGAGCCCAGTGCCGAGAACAAGTGTGCGATGCTCCCTCTCTCTGCTGGCTTCACCTTGCCATCCCCTGGGGCCTCGTCCCCAGGCAGCCCCAGCTCCCCTTCCTGTCCCTAGGGCTGACGAGCCCGGTGCATCTGAAGGGTGTTCCTTCTGCTCCCGAAGGGACACAAACGGGGGTGACCGCGGCTTCCAGAACCCTGTCTGCTTTTTCCGCGTCTGGACTGTGGTCTGTGGTTATGGGATTCCTGTGAGATGTGAGCCGGAAGCCCGTTGGGCTGCTGTTCCTGGGGGGTGGTGCTCCCCTCGCCTGTCCGTCCCGGCCCCGCGGGGTCTGCCACCTTGAGGCTGTGTTCCCAACCTGTGGGCCTGAACACGACCAAGGCCGGGAGCAGAGAGTCTCGCCAGGCCCCCAAGCTGGGCTTCTGCAAGTCGGGGCCCGTCCGGCTGGGCGCACGCCTCGCTCCAGGCCCCTGCGCCCCGCCTCCGAGCACGACTCACCTTGGGCCTAGTAAACTTGCCCCAATCTCCCATGTGCAAACCGGGCAGAAAGTGACGTGAACGTGGAGGTTAACACTCCCCAAGCACGCGGTAACCCCAGCTTCTGGCTTGCTCTCCTGCCGTGTTTCTATCTGGTCCCAACCCAACGGGCTGAGGACATTCGCGTTAATAAACGCAAGCCGAAGTCCCTCCTCCGTGCACCTACCCCGTCCTCTCTGGGGACAGACACGCGTGCAGGCAGCGAGCGAGCTGAGAGCAGGTGTGGGAGGTCCCCGGGTGCCGACTGCGGCCAGAGGTGTGGGAGGGAGGCCGGGATGTGGGTCAAGCATGGAAAGAGCCGGTCCGCTCGGCACGAGGGACAGGCGGCCTTTCCCCAAACCCGCAGCCGGGCCTCTGGGCGCGGCTGACTGCCCCCACCCTACCTGCTCTCCCCTCCTGGCCTCTGACACCTCCTCTCCTGCAGCTCCATTGTGCTCGTGGTGTCGAAGGGACGATACACGTCCAAGGGCCTGTGGACCAGAGTGCTGGAAAAGCTCGGCACAGATAAGAGCCTCAGGTTGAAAGGTAAGCGATCCAGACCAGGGGTCTACACTGACCGTAAGTCCAGATGCCTGGTGTGGGGGCTGCTGCTACCTCTTGCCGAGACCACAGTGCTCCCCACCAGACCCCAGGGTCCTCGACGCTAGGTGGCCTTCTGGAACGTGTGGGCCGGGTGCCGCCCATTCGCCATCCCTACACGCCAGCAGCCTCCTCCCAACGTGTGAGCCGACATGGGAAGCCACTTCCTGAGTTGTTCGCCCGTCCGCTCAGCACGGGCCCCCTCCCCTTCTCGTTAAACCAAAGCATCAGCAGGAAAGTGGCTTGATCTGCCCCCGTCCTGGCTCCCGCTACAGGGACGGGCGGGGCTCTGCCTCGTCCTCCATGTTCCAGTGGGCTGGACGCTCATACGCCCACCGTAAGGGACGTAGGGAGGGACGGAGAAACGAAAGCCCGAGGCATCTCTGCGGCTTGTCCGAGGTCCCTCGGTGCTTCTGCGGTGAAGCCCAGCATGACCCTCGTCACCGTCACCGCGGAGCCCAGGGGAGGCTGGGAGGGAGGTGGAACAAGCCCGCAGACGCTAACGTCCGCTGGGGTCCACGCGTGGTGCCCGGCTGTGCACCTGCTGAGCTCGCCGCGATTGCTGCGCGTTCACGGGTCACGGTGCCATTGCTTCCGTCTGGGATGGAACCAGACGCTTAAGTAACTTGCCCAAGATCAGAATTTGGATCCGAACGCTTCTAACCCAGAGCTCAGCTGCCACGCCATCCTGTGAGGAGCATCAAAGCTCGTGGCCCGTCATGTGGGACGTCAATTCCTAGCAGCTCCCACGGGAAAGCCCGGAGGCCCTTCCCTGGAGCCAAAAGAGAGCCCCAAGAACAGAGAAGTATCTTCTCGGGCTCAATCCTGGACTCATCTTGGGGCCTCTGCCTTTTTAACTAAGACCCTGTTGCCAAAAGCTGACGTAGGTGAGGTGATCTGAGTGGCGTCTTCCCAGAGGTGGCACGTGTGTGCCGCCCGCCAGGCCGGGCCGATCCCGAGTGTGGACAGAGAGCCCCACGCCCCTCCCTCGGTTAAGCTCCGAATGCAAGGCAGGCTCACTGCGTGGGGCCTAGACGTCTAGTCTGGCTGCACCACTTACTCTGAACCCTTGGACGGAGTCCTTCCAAAGCCACGGCACGTTGGAGCTGGGAGAGGTCCTGTAGCTGAGCGTCATCCCTCGTGTGACTGGCTGACTGACGGGGGACGCTGGGCTTCAGAGAGGCACAGGGACTCGCTGGTGATCAGAGGCTCAGCCCAAAGGCAGCCGGGGCCCCGGGGGGGGCCTCCTGTGCAAAGCAGGGCCACCACCCCGCACGGCCGACCGGAGGCTCGGGTGAGACCCTGTGTGCCCCTCGCAAATGACGTCATCGGGCGCAAAGCTACTCCCGGGGAGGCAGAGCCCGGGGCGGCTGGGAGAGGGCGCCTGGAAATGCCTGCAGGGAAGGGCGATGGGAGGCCTGGCGGGAGCCGCTCTCTTGGGGTTTCTGTTCATGTGACTCACTCCTGCTTTCCAGAGAAAATGGCGTTCGTTGGCTTCAAAGGGAGCTTCCGGCCGACCTGGGTGACTCTGGACACTGAGGACCACGGTGCCAAAATCTTCCAAGTGGTGCCCATCCCCGTGGTGAGGAAGAAGAAACTGTGAGGACGCCAGCCACCTCGTGTCGCTCCGCAGTGGACGGTGGACTCTTGGCCGCGGGCCAGGCGGGACGGCTGGCTCCCCCTGGGAAGGGCCGGGGGCAGCCCTGACGGGCGGAGGGGAGGGTATCAGAGACCCTGGCGCGGCCACCCGCCCCCACTCCAGCGTCTCCCTGCGGCCCCCGGGGGGGGGCAGCCGACCTTCCTTCCTGCAGCCTCTCAGGTGCTTCTCTCCTACCTGTGCCTCTTCAGGGGGGGGGGGGGGGCGCGGGGGCCACGCAAGGAGACCCGAGCTGCACTGGCGGCAGGAGCCCTGACCCAGCCGTTCACAGACCCCGCGCTCTCCAGCGCGCACGGCAGGCTGGTCGATACGGGGGGGAAAGGGAGCCGTGAGCAGACACCAACCTTCAAGGGGTTGGGAGCCGGCGTGTACACGGAGCCGGCCAGCACGGGACCAGCTCCCCTCGGGGGACGGGCAAGCCCTACCTCTGGAGGGTTCACCCGACCGTTCAGGAGGCCTCGGGTCCCGGGATGGGGGGGGACGAGGTGACTTTTAGAGGCCCTCTGCGTTCTGAGACCACACTGCACGCAGAAGCCAGCGGCAGACGCGAGGGTGCCGTGTGGCTGGGCGCCCTGGGCCATGAGGGCGGAGCTGCGGGAGGTCCGGCCTGGGGTCCAGGCTCGCAGGCTGCAGGACGGGCGGGCTCAGAAGAAGACCAGGCCAGGATCCCGCGTGCTCGGGTGGGTCAGGACACGGCCTGCAGGACGAGGAAGGGGGCGGGCACCTTGCAGGGCGGGCTCGGGCAGCCCCCCCGCCACCCAGTAGCTCGGAGGTGCTCCCACCTGCTGAAGCTGCTGACCGCTGGGTCACCCTGTGCCTGCAGCTTGCTGGCCCACCCAGCGAGGCCACACGTGCAGGGGCGGGGGGGGGGGGTGCCGGGCCGAGGTGCCCAGAGCACTGAGCACCTCCTGGCCCCAGGGAGGGCTGGACCAAGTCGAGGGAAGTGAGCTCCTACCTGGGGCCTCATTTGTTCTTTATCCCGAGACCCGGGAGCGTGCTCTCACCTCAGGAGCCCGAGGTTTCAGAGTCGGAGAGGACCTTAGGGTACGTCCAGTCCAAGACCCTCCTTTCACGGAGGCGGCGTGTGAGACCCCGAGATGGGTTAGAACCACGCGGCCAGGCCGGGCCGAGAGGCCCCCCGCCCAGCACCTGCCGCCACACCACATTGCCTCAACAACTGGCCCCGGGCGCTGAATGGGGACGAGTCCCCTGAAAAGGTCATCAGAATAGAGAGAATTGGCCGATGGCTGTTTCCCTCCAGGCCCACTGCCCGCCCCGCAGGTTGGGGCGGCCCTGCGGCCCCCGCTTGTCCTGGTGGCCACGGCCGTCCCACTGGTGCTACCCGAGTGCAGGAGCACAGGTGCAGCCCAGGGCACGGTGGCGGGGCTCGCGTCAACGCTTTGGGTGAGCCGGCTCGGCTGCTGGGGTCGGGGGCTCGCAGCTACCCGCTGACCCCTGAGCTGTCTGCCTCGCCCACCCTCCGCCCTGCAGGGAGCTCAGAGAGCCCCTGAGGGAGGGGACCCCTTCTGGGGTTCACACTCTCCCGGGGGGCCCCAGGGTCACGCCGAGCTGCATCTCCCCCTTTCCTGCGCCAACCACACACTCTTCGCAACTCTTCTTTCGAAGACGGCCTTCTCTGCCCCCTCTGCAGCCGCGGCCCTCGGGAGGGGTCCCCTCCCCAGGCTGAGCCGACTGTCAGAGCAGTTTCCCGGAGCACGGTCCGTCCAGCTGCTGGGAGGCGAAGGTGGGACACGGCAGGGGCCGTGCTCCCGGGAGAAACCTCTTCCACGCAGATTCCCGGCGACGGGTGGGGAGGGGAGTCGTGACCTCCTGTCCCCGTCTGCAGTTCTGTTGAGTTTTTCAAACTCTGTCGACGCGAGGGTCTCACACTGTGAACCAGCTAGGGTGGGGTCGCTTCCGGTGGCCGGGAGTGTGGATGGTCTTTGGTTCGGTTGGTTTCAGAGAGCGTATCTGTTTGAAAATGCTCAGAGTTGTACACACGCCCAGCAGCTCAGGGTCCGTGCGCGCACTCTCCCTCCGACGCCGGCCAGCAAGGGCCAGGGGCCCGGCGTGCTCTTGGTGGCACACGTTTTCTCACCGCCTGGAAAATCGCTCCCACAGTTCTGTCTGTCGGCGTCCAAATGAGTTAGGCCCTCTGGGGCGAGCCACACTCCCCTGAAATGCCGGTCTCTTTCCTGTTGCCGAAACGGCTGGTCCTTTTTCGGGAATTAGATGTTTTGTTCGTAAATGTTTCTCATAGGTGTTGCCACGAACAAAGATGTGTTTTCTATTTATTTATTATGTATGCACTTGGAGAAGTCGTCGTGGGAGAAATGGATCGTCCTAAATGTCACGTTCGGGGATGTCCTTTGGACCACGTACCCGGAACCTTCTGCTGGTGGCAGAGGGCGCTGGCTGTGGTTTGGAAAACCTTGTACCATAGTAAACATACAAAGGATCTCAGCCTCCCGCCTCTGTTTTCCATTAAAGGGGCCTCGTTTTAAGCCAGATATTTAAGCAAAAATGAGACCGATGAAATCCCTCCCGCCCCCCCGTCCGCCTCTCTGTCACTTCCAAGAATTATTCATATGTTAATGTCCTACCTTGTCCTGCTCTCCGGGGCGCCCACAAGAGCCGGTGCAGCTGGTCCTGTGGGAGAAGAGGCATTCGTTCATGTGACCGGCCATGCCCAGGACGCGCCCTGCCCTCCTCACCCCCAAGCCATCAGTAAGCCCTCAGGGCAGCACTGTCCCCCGGGGGAAAGCCAGGAGGGGCCAACAGGGCCTTGGCTGGAAGCAGGACCGTCTCCTCCTCCTGGAGGCCACGCACAGTGTCTGAGAACAGCGTAGAAGTGGGGGGTGGGAAGGTAGGTCCAAACCAAGCTGTCAGGCAAGAGTGGCAGAGGCAGGCTAGAGCGGTCCCCTCGGCCACGCTGGGAGGGGCCCACAGGATCGGAGGGGGAGAAGGTGAGACGCAGAGCCTAGAACGGGGAGACCGGGGAGTGTTCTAGAACTGCACTGCCCGGCTGGCAGCCACTAGCCACGCGTGGCTAAATTCGAGTTAATTACAAGTTAAATACAATCAAAAGTTCAGTTCCTCCAGCCCACGTGGCTAGTGGTGGCCGTCCCGGATGGGGCAGGTCTAGCACACGCTCCCATCAGCGGGCGCCTGGCGGCTCAGGCGGTGAGCGTCCGACTCTTGACTCCTGATTTCAGCTCAGGTCACGATCTCACGGGTCGCGGGTTCGAGCCCCGCGGTGAACTCCGCGATACAGCGCGGAGCCTGCTTGGGATCCTCTCTCCCCCTCTCTGCCCCTCCCCATTTGTTCTCTCTCTGTGTCTCTCAGAATAAATTAAAACGTAAAAAATAAATAAAACATTTCCATCACCACAGAGAACTCTTCTCTTGGCGGCTTCTAGAGGGCTCTCAGGGCTCAGTGTGTGTGTGCGTGCGCGCTCAGTCCACCGAAACGGGTTGGCATCAGGCTGTGGTATCGAGGTGCCAGTGAACAAGTCCGGTGGACCAGCTCGGACACCCGTGTTGGTGGGCGGGGGACAAATCCGACACCCCGCCCTGGAGGAACGTCGCCTGGAGGCATCACATTTGAACATTCATCCAGTAAATGTCTCAGCACCTGCTGGGTGCCAGGCACGGCACACAGGGGACACAAAAGACGCCCATGGAGGACAGGTGTCAGGGCTCCGGGGACAGGGACGAACCGTCCTCACCTGCAGCGGTCGGGGATCAGTAGGGGCTGGAGGCGCCCGGAAGTCAGGGGCGGGCGAGGCACGGCCCGGCACAAGGGAAGTGAGCAGAGGTGCGGGCTTGAGGGTGGAACGGCGTGCGGGAGGCAACGTGGGGGAGCCGGTTCACCACTTGGACACCCGCACACGTGCTGCTTCAGCGACGCGGGAACGGCCCCCGTGGGAGGGCTGGGACGGAGACCCTGGGCGGCTAAGGAGCGGGAGGGCGGGCTCAGGGACCCTTCAACAGTCACTGATGCCCACAGGGAAGTCCCCATACGAGAGCTTGGGCCCCAAGCCCCGTGCCTGCTGACAGGCCAGCCTGGAGGGGAGAGGCGGGAGGGGCTTCTGCGGAAGGAGCAGGAAGTAACGAGGAAGGGCGGGATGAGGGAACAGCGCTTGCGGGGCCTGGCGGAGGAGACACCGTAGGAAGTGGTGGGGGCGGGCTGTTCCACAGACTGGAGGGAAGAAGGGACGGGTGTCCACGCAGAGATACCCAGTGGTGGCCTCGAGGGGTCAGAGTTCATAGCATCTGCTCCAAACGCAGGGGCATGGAGTCTGCAGCAACAGTCCCTGTATCCACGTGACAGACGCGGCTGGGTGTGCAGGCTGACCCCCACCTAGGGTCCTGTCTGCATCTCTGGCCCCATCACCCACTGCTGCTTCCCGGGCCCCAGGCACACAGGAATCTCATCACGTCTCGCCCACCCAAAGCACTTGGTGTCCCCGCAGTGTGACATGTGACCCGTTCCCTGTACCAGGCACACCCTTCCCTCCTCCTCCTCCACTCGCCGCGTGCCTGCCCTACTCTCTCCAAGGTTGAGTTCCACGCGAAGGCGTCTCTGACCCACCCCTGGCCCCGTGGACCTTCCTCCTTCCTTCCCCGGGGCCCAGGGCCCCGAGCCACCACAGCCCACACCCTGCCACCAGAGGCCACTAGCCCCTTCCGCCAGCCTCCCTCAGGGCGGGCCATCTGACTTCCCACGTGGGGCAGAGTTGTGCTCTATAAACGTTTCATCGAGGGGCGCCTGGTGGCTCAGTTGGTTGAGCATCTGACTCTTGGTTTTGGCTCAGGTCACGATCTCGCGTTTGTGAGATCGAGCCCCAGGTGGGGCTCTGCACGGAGTATGGAACCTGCCTGTGATTCTCTTTCTCTCTCCACCCCCCGCCCCTGCTCACACTCTTGCTCTCTCAAAAAAAAAAAAAAAAAAAAATTAGGGGCGCCTGAGTGGCTCAGTCGGTTAAGCATCTGACTCTTCCTTTCGGCTCAGGTCACGATCTCACGGTTCGTGAATTCTAGCCCCATGTCGGGCTCTGGGCTGACAGCATGGAGCCCGCTTGGGATTCTCTGTCTCCCTCTCTCTCTGCCCCTCCCCCGCTCGCTCGCTCTCTCTTTCTCTCTCTCAAAAATAAATAACCTTTAACAACAACAAAAAAAATGTTTTATAAACGCATCATTGAAGGTCGAATGATGGCACGGGCAGACCCCTCTCCTCCCTCTGTCCAGGGGGCCAGGACCCAGCTGCCCTCCGACCCCGCTCTGAGCTCCCCTGCCCCAGAGGCAGGAAAGGAGTGGGAAGTGAGGGGGGAGGACGACCCCCCCGGGAAGGGCAAGCACAGGGGCTCGCCTCAGAGATGTGCGGCCACCCACACAGAGGACGTCAGCAGGGCGCATCAAATGGGCTTTGATTTCCAGCACAGACTAATGTTATATTTATACCGGACCGTAGTCTATTAATATGCAATAGCATGGTGTCTAAAAAAGACCAATCGCACACACCCTAACTTTAAACTACTTTACAGCTAAAAAATGCTGGCGATCGTTCAGGGCTTCAGGGAGTCATAAGCACCGATCACAGATCACCACAACACAGACAGTAATGGTGAGCCAGTCTGAAATATTGCGACAACCACCCACACGTGACGCAGACGCACGAAGTGAGCCACGGCTGTTGCGACAGTGGAGCCACGGACTTGCTCAACCCCGGGTCACCGCAAACCTTCCGTTTATGAAAATGTGCAGGATCTCTGAAGTGCGACAAAACGGGCCGGTAACAGTGCTAAGAATCGAAGACCTCCAGAACCCATTAAGAAAATGAAATTAGGGGGAAAAAAATGAAATTAGGGTCACCTGGGTGCTTCCGTAGGTTGAGCGTCCGACTTCGGCCCAGGTCACGATCTCGCGGTTCGTGGGTCCGGGCCCGTGTCGGGCTCTGTGCTGACGGCTCGGAGCCTGGGGCCTGCTTCGGATTCTGTGTCTCCTTCTCTCTCTGCTCCTCCTCTGCTCACATTCTGTCTTTCTCAAAAATAAACAATAAAAAAAGGTTTTAAAAATTAAAGAAAACAAAATAATTTGCGGACCACGGGTTTACATCATTAACGTCGGCGGCCTAGGTGTCCTCAGTGTTGGGGGGTCACCTCTTCTCTCAGTAGTTACATGAACCTGCTGAAGGTCCCCTGATTGGGAGAAACTCAGTGACGCCCCTCACTGCCAAGTCCTGCGCACACACACCCACGAGCCTCCACTGCTCCCGTGCCCGGCTGGCCTCCGCTTTGGACCTCCCTGTCTCCCCTGACAGAGCCGTCCCCTTTCTCCACTATGCGATGACCTCAGTGGGGAACACGGCCTCTTTCCTTCTGGATCTCCCCAAATTACATGGACACAGGGAGGTCACTTGTAGCAGAATTTTGCTGAGGGCTTGGGAATATGGCAGAGCAGCCATCTAAAACAGAAAATGAGTCATCATGATGGAACGGTAGGCACGGGGGTCTCTTCCGAGGACCAGTCTGCAGGGCGGGGCCTGTCGGGGGAAACAGGTGACAGACTGTTACCCACATTCTGCAGGAGGGCTCGCGAGAGAGAGGCCCCGTCACCTCCCTCCAGACCGGGGGACAGAAGGCAAGAGACGCTGCCGGGGCGGGGTTCCCTGGTGGATATCCCAGAGTGGACGGTGCTGGGCACTTTCTCCTCTCTCAAGGGGTGCACCCCCCGAGCCAGGGGAGGGGTGCCAAGAGAACCCCTCGTGGGGAGGCGGGGATATTTGCGGGAAAGACAAGACCGACATTTCCCTTCTCAGCTGCACGCTCGCTGAGCCCCAAGCTGACTGGCCACCCGGCTGGGGCGGAGCGGGAAGAGTGTCCTCTGGACGGCTGTCTTGGTTCCCCGTCACTCGGGAAGGCAGAGGCTGAAGATGCCTGTCCCCTCACTGGGGTATCTGGAGGTGGACGCAGTGAGGCCGCCGTTCCCGGGTGAACAGAGGGCGGCCTCTGGATACACGCATTCACTTCCACCTCTGAGCCGGGAAGGATGCACGAGGCTTCCCGTGAGCCACGCACACGCCACGGACCTTACCCGCAAGCGTCGTGAGCTAGCTCGAAGGGACCCCGGCCCAAAGGGCCACCTGCTCAGATGGCGGGATCTTTCCAGGAAGAGGTGATGGGCTGCCCCCAGAGGCAGGAGCCGAAGGACAAAGTGGTCTCACCAGTATTCGACTGGAAAACACACTGCTCAGATCAAAGTCGAAAGGACAGTATCTGGGAATAATCCGGAACACGTCTCAAGCCAAAGACCGTGAGGGAGGGTGCCCAAGGACAGTGTGCAATGACACAGGCTGGGGAAGCCTTGTGGCCCCCCCTCCTCCAACCCCCCACTCTGGGCCCCACCCTGCAGGAGCCAGCGGGGCTGGGGCTGGGGAGGGCTCAGGACGCGGAGCAGGGAGA